AAGTGTGAGAGAGCCATGCTTCGGCACGAATGGGCCGGCTGGACCGGAGTGATACCATGGCCTCACAGAAAACCGACGTGAAGCAATGCTTGCGTTGTATTTCGTCGTGTGAGTTAGGTTACCCGAGGCCCAATTACCTTCCCCTTCCCCCAATCTCCCCAATCCTTGAATCCCCAACGATCATCCGTCTGCTCACTTACCGGCTGATGCCATAAAAATAATGGACACTAGTCTAACCATGTAAAGACTTCAATCAATCAACCCTAATCAGTAATCAAATCTTATGTTTCATCATTCATACTCATATCATAAGTCGAACCAAATATGTTGGCCGTGTTGCTAAGTCAATACTCTAAACTTACATTATTCATACTTAAACCATTAATCACGAAGACGCCAGTATTATATTATCTTCTAGCTTCTATCTCAAAGTCACCTTGACCGTGACTGCAAGCTCGCGTGCTCCTCTCAGCATAGTAATCACACTAATTACACAGGTCTAAACATACATTATATTCTTTAGAGCCGTTTTAGAGTATTTTTTTTTTCATAATGCATTGTGTATTGAGTATTAAAGACCACACAAATTGACTTAAGCCAACTTGCTATACGTTGCACAGCATTTGATTGCCCAGCCAATACACCAATAGTGCAATACTAATTTGAACAAGCCAAAAGCTGAAAATAATAGACTAGAACTATAACAGATAATGATATAAAAAATATTTAGGTACTTACTTAGTTGTTTAGTTCATACAATATCAACATAGTTTTATAGTCCTCGCCTGACCTCCACGCCGCATTGGGTAACTTCATTAATCGGCTACAGTAATCTCCATTGTATAAGGATGCTGTTAGTAACTTCCAGTATTGTGTCAGTTTTATAACATCCTTATTTAAGTACGTTGTAAACTATTCATTACGATGTGTTTATTCTGTTTCATGTTTTCTGTATAAAATGTAGATATTACTTTTGTGTTAAAATGGGTTGTACTTCAGGATAGTTTTTTTTAAGGGGGAAAATCATCGAATGGCTGCTCCCGCCTGGGTGAGGCGGAAGGGAGTGTCAGACTCTTACTGACTATAAACCACCCCGTTCCTTCTCCTGCACGTCGAGCCGGAGCCCCGGTTACCCGTTAGGTTCTCCGCGACACTTCTGGATAGACACAGTGATTATTCAGTTAGATGCGCCCGAGTACTAAAAGGCTAGACATAAGGCTTCAATTTTACTTGTACTTAAATATCGTGCCATCTGTTATTTTATAAAGATTTTGTAGTGGCAGAACTAAAAGCGACTTTAAATTATGTAGGTAGCCTTTCAGTATTCAGGCGATAATCTATTAAAGGTTACACAGTAATGTGCTCGGTTGTCAAAAACTTATATGGGCCATACCAACTTACAAGTGACTTAAAGTGAATTATTCACTGGATGATTGAAGTCTCTGGAGACACTTTTTTTATAAGGAGGGAAAATCATCGAAGGACTGCTCCCGCCTGGGTGAGGCGGGAGGGAGTGTCAGACTCTTACTGACTAAAAACCACCCCGTTCCTTCTCTTGCACGTCGAGCCGAAACCCCGGTTACCCGTTAGGTTCTCCGCGACCTCTGGAAAAGCTGCGACTGCGATAAATACCAACTGCGCCCAACAAGACACTTCTCAAATTAATGATCAACTTTAATTGAGACCTTTATTTCCCCGGTTCCACCTGAATCGGAGAAAATAAAGATCTCAATAAAATCAGTAAGTTCTTGAATATTGCAAAGAATAATGAATAATCTAATACTCAGTCTGTTGGGTCATCGACCTCAAGTGCATCTTGACCTCTGATAACAAAATTTACCATTTCTCGCGCTAAAGAATAAATTAGATAGTCAGATTAATGAAACATTTATTACAAAAATGTTATTTAAACACGTATGTATTAACTGTTACAATTCTAACTCCAAAGTTAAAAGTTCAAGGTTTGTGTTTGTTTACAAAACATTTCGCTTTAAACAAACAAGGACGCAACAAAGTAAACTAAAGGATTCCACTTTAAATTTAAATTTTCAACATTTTGTTGGTATGTATGTAAGGAGAATTTGACAATATCTACATTTTGATAGCAGAAATATAAACACATAGTTAAGAAATTAATAAAAACATTTTGTCTTTCTGTTATTGCCTAGAATAATAGACCGTATTATTGCAATATTAAAGATTAATATTCATCAACAACCTAACAGGGTGCTGCTAGAGTAAAGCCCTTATTTACATAAAAGGGTTTGCCATTATTAGCAGTTAATGACAATATTACAAGGTTTATATTTCCAGAAAGTAAGTTTTATTGGTCACCTCTCATTCAATAAGGTATTACTTAACATTAAAATTTTCGTGAGCCATACTAAATTAGCTACTACTCGCAGCAGCGACGCGATAGTCGCCACGTCGCGGGTCGCCCGAATGCTGCCTAAGAATATCCCTAACATAGAAGAATATCCCTAGAATAGACCATCTAACATTTTTTTTTTTTTTGAGCGGAATATATTATTCAATGTCTTCTTTCACCCGGGTGAGGAGGCGAGAGGGAGTGTCTGACTCTTACTGACTAAAAACCACTCCGTTACTACAACCCGTTCAGCCCTCCGGGGCTCCATATCGGTATCAGCCCTATTGGGCCCCATCTGTGGTGGTCTGATGGCTCCTTGATGCGCGGGCGGAACGCGACGCGCCGTACGCTCGGGGAGCCTCTAGCATGACTTGAAACTAGTCGAGTTCCTCGTCAAACAGTTACGTGAGTAAGCGGAAAATATAATAAGTAATTTAGTGTTACTTAATATTGTATTCTTTGGTAAACTTTACTATATTGCCTTCCCATACCGCAGTAAACTACAAGCAATTAAAATTCCTCGCCCAGTAAATGTTTAATCAATTTAAACATCATGGCGTCACCATAGGAAATGCATACAATACATTATCATCTTAAAACTCTTCCGCCGACAACTTTAACATTACTGTAGTATTAAAATGCCATTATGTCTGTTTTTGGTAAATATGATAATTTAAATCAGGTATTATTGTATATAAGGAAAATACTTCAACTGTATCTATATGTGATCCTGAGGCAGTATAAGTAAGACTAAATCTTATGGTTTAGTATTCAAAAAACGAATGTGTTGCTTCTAAAACGATGATTTATTTTGTTAATTTCTTATCAAAATATCCTTTTGATTCGTACACTAATGTAAAGGATCGTACACTAATCTATGGATAGTCAGTATGCATATGTGAGCACCATCTTAGACTTCTTTATTTTTGTTTTGTTTTATATTTTAGTAAGTTCTGTAATTAGTATTATGCGTCAAACGTGTCTTTACATTGTTCTCACATATGTGTACAATATTCGAATATGTATCAGAGGGATTGTAAAACATGCTTTTTTTAAAAGAGTAACGAATTGAGTTTCTTGCTCGTTCTTCTCCACTCGAATCTACATTAGTTGGTGTTGGTTTGTATGGTATGTTTAGTTTGGTTCTTAGCTGTCGCATTAGGATATATGATGCCCTGTAATGATAAAGTTGTTGTGCTGTAGTTTAAGGGGTTTTAAATATAAATAAATAAATACATTTTAGAACGAGCTTCGCTGACGGACAGACTGACAGACTATTATTTATCTTATAGGTATTTGTTAAGTTTACAAAAGTACCAAATTATGGTTTAATTGAAATAAATGCTTTTGAATTTGAAAGAACCTTACCTTAAAACGAAGAAACGGCATTCAAAGTTAATTTCTCTACCAATTGTAGTTTTTCATAAAATATATATCATAACTTTTTAATAATTGTTACCTCTGTAATTAATAACTGTATCTGTAATACAGTAATACAGTCATACCATACTTCGTGCAAATAAACGTTCTCATTCTTCGTGTACTTATTCTCTTAACAAACCACCGACTAAATATTTGACAGTTTATGATCAAATACACGGAGCACTCCAAATTCAAATTTAAAGAAATCTAGAGGTATTTTCTTTACTTATGTATATTTAAAATTGTACGTGTAGCGGCCAATTTTTTAATAATTCCATGCATATAATTTTTATTATTATTTTTTTTTTCTAATATTTAAAACTAGCTTCTGCCCGCGATTTCTTTTATTTTAATTTTTTTGTTTTTTTTAAAAACGTTGCCCCACATTAGGATTTTCTCCTGTGTCGTGGGTGCGTTTACAAACATACAAGTTCACATACACAATGACACCCAGACCCGAAACAACAATTTGTGGATCACACAAAGTGTTGTTCCGTGCGGGAGTCGAACCCGCGACACGTTGCACAGCAGCCTTGTCTGTACATTTGTCTGTACATAGCAGCAACATTTGTTTGTACATTTTGAAGAAAATAAGCTGTAATAATGTAAATATAGACAAAAAAGACTGTCTTTTGGTAAATACCGAATATTATAAAAAATCTTCTTGTATTATGTCACAATGTAATTTGCAACCTGGATTTGTGCCCTTAGCAACCGCTTACTTATTCGAAGATGTCCATTATAACATCACGGGAAAATCAGATGTGACGTGATGTGATCATGTATGGAATACCATTTATCACACCAGCTATTGTCATTAATTCATTAGATCATCAGATCCGATAAAACCTAACATAATTAAACCACAGAACACAATCTCTATCCACAAAGAAAAATGTTTGAAAAGTCAAATTATTTAACCACTATAATTTTACTACAAACAGTCCAACATAAATTGAGCTCCGCCGCCCCTCTTTCCGTTACCACGTCTGATAAAAGACAGGAAAAGCATTCAGTTGCAACAGGTCACAGAAAAATGGTTAATTAATTGGTGTATCAGTGATCGTAGTGGCACGTAGTACCGGCGCTTGCGCAACGTATAAAAAGGCTATAGTGACCAAATAGACGCACAGTCAGAAACCAGACCTGTTACCGATAACACTTATTTATATATTTTAAAATAATATATTGTTTAATTGAATTTAGAAAGATGAAAGTGTTTGTGTGTTTTGTTTTGAGTTACATCGCGTGCGTACACGCTGGCTCGCTGCGTGAGTTTTCTTTTTAATTTCTTACTTTAAGAACGATACATAAAGCTACGATGAAAGGTTTTTAAAATTAGTGTTCCTAAATTAAAAGTTTAATATTTTTCTCTTTTACTCTTTTCTAATTCATACTCATCAAAAGTAACTTTGTAAGCTTTTATAGACTTCTTATACACTAGCAAAGCTTACGAATAAATTTGAATTATCAGAAAGTAGTACGTGCCATCAATTTATTTTATAGAATACGTGAACAATGTGTTAAATGATTAATTTATTTAAATTGATTTGCGCTTGAGTCGTGAGAACTAGATTCGGTACAGCTTAATAGAAAAGTAATATAATAACTGATTACGAAAGAGCAAAAGTAAGTTTAATTGGTAGACGTCTTACTAACCTAGATTTTTTGTTTAGATGTCATTCTTACACTAAGATAACTATTAATTTTAGTGTTTGTATTTTGTTTAAATATCTAGGATTATTTATGAGCTGAAATCACTTGAATTATACTTAACAAACATCTAATTAAATAAATTATAGAGTATATTTTAAATTAAATAACGTTCGTTTGATTATTAAACTCTCAATGGGAATGGAATATGAGGTACATTCTGGTATTTGGTTTTGAAATATTTTTATTATTTTTGCTGCACGATGATAGAAGGCAGAAAAGTCCTTACTGTAGTTAAATATAAACTAAACTCAACTCAAAAATAATTCGACCTTATGGCTTTTATAGTCGAATATTTTTACTTTTTTACAAACTGAATTTCAGACTACATCTCACTTTAATTCTTTCCGTAATTAATTCCTAAATAACTGATCAATCTTCTGTAATAAAACCAAGCTCAGTGATATTATAGAGGTAGATCAAGTTGCACTTTCTACTGACATTGAGATCCGCATCGTGTTTGTTGCAAAAGCAAAACATTGCATAATGTTACCGCTCGGTCTCGGGCTCGGAAGTTGAAGGTAGTTTGTATTTATTTCGATACATTTGGAACATTTCTTCATATAGTTCTTTTTATCAAAGATCTCGTAGCAATAGGATAATCTAGCTCTCCATACGTCCATATGAATCTATATCATTTTGGAACGACCACGTAGGTGCTGACGGATTTAATGACGAACTATTTTATTTTGTCGATTGTAATGTAGTTGCATGTGATTCTAGAAATTGAAAAGCTCGCCTTGACTTTGACTAGGGTACAAACGAACCGATCATTTACCTTGGGGAGGATATGTTTATGAGAATCTTAGTTTTTAAGAACCTAGACGTGACATTTAATGTTAGATATGTAGGTAAAGGAAAATGTTCTCTTACATTTAGTATGTGCATCTCTGTTTACCTCTTCAGGGAAAAGGAAAACTAAAAAAAATATAGTGTATGTATCCTTAGTCTAGTTTTTAGTCAAATTTCCGTGCTGCTTGGCGACTGGGCTTCTTCCAGTTGTACAGTCTCTTTTTGTGTCTTTACACTTAATTCATTCTGTCTCCTGCAGTAATTCATCGAGGAAGAGAAGTGGAAACTATCTTATTTTTCTTCTCCTCTTATAATACCTTCTGATTTATTTCGTTACCAAGACAGCTATTCATGTCCCTAGGACGCGCTCCGGTGTTTTCATGGTTTTATCTACTGTAGATCTTGCCTTACAGGAGTTGCAGCGGTTTTTGGAGGCTGTGGCGGGCTTAACCCTAAAAAAATTCTTAGTCGAGATAGTTAGCAATCTCTATGAAGCAGTTTCATTTCGTTATCTGTTTTCGCATTCCATCCTATATGTTTCACTAAACTGTTAGTTCCATTCTTTATTGAATAGACTCGCCCGTTAAATAAATAGTACCTAAAACCTAACAAGCACTCATATTTACGTGATTGTCAAGTTTAATAATTCTGCTAAAACAATAGAATTCTTCATAATTACAGTTAATAGCATTAGGTGCATGTTCATTAGACAAGTCGAGTAATAGTTAAGTGGGTGAGGAACACTGTCACATGATCTTTACTTTAATATGTTGAATTCTTTTTATGCGATAAACCGGTAAACGAGCAGACGAATCACCTGATGATAAGTAATCGGCGTCGCCTACGAACACCTGGAATACTAGAGGCGTTACAAGTGCGTTACCAGCCTTTTTTGGATTAGGAATTAGGATTGTTGAGCATTCAGGGATTGGTAAGATTGGGGTTATTGGGCCTCCGATAAGCTCACTCACTCGACGAAGCATAACGCAAGCGTTGTTTCACGTCGGTCTTCTGTGAGGCCGTGGAATCACTCCGGTCGAGCCGTCCCATTCGTGCCGAAGCATTGCTCTGTCTCGTCAATCTAGTCCAGTCAAAATTTAAATGATCATAGTACCTACTGTTGAGACCTTTTCATTTCAATTTATTAAAATAAATTTTTCTTTACTTTAACGAAAGTTTTTATCTGATAGTCAATGCCTATGTCTACCAATGGAGGTTTTTTAAGGGGAGAAAATCATCGAATGACTGCTCCCGCCTGGGTGAGGCGAGAGGGAGTGTCAGAATCTTACTGACTAAAAACCACCCCTTTCCTACTCCTGCACTTAGCGCCGGAGCGACGGTAACCCGTTAAATTCTCCGCGACTAACAGTGGACATCTTATGGCGGGTCTGATGATGAAAAGCATCAATGTTCTTATGTTACAACAACCACGAAGGTCTTCCTTATAATAAATCTGTATTATTCATAAAGGTATTAATATTATTACTGTGGGAAATATTTTCCTAAGCATTGTTTTTAAAAAAACCTCCGCTAGTATTTACAAATCATCTATTGTTTAACTATCGACCAGACCTATCAGTTATCTTGATGACAGTGTTATACAATGTGTTAATTCGGTAAATAACTATTTCAGTTGCAACTGCAACGTGACACAACTTAGTCATTTTCTGAAAAAACAAATAGTTTTTCATGTTAACTCATGTAGGAGCTGTTTGCTCTACCTACTGGAGTTAATACATCCCCAAGTCACTTCACACTGATGTTCAACAATATTCACCCATATTTTGATCAGCTCATATCGGTTATATTGTTCATTTAGACTTCAAAAAAGATAGTTTGACCTCTTTGTATGTATGTAGGTATGTTTGTGCGCGATTGTCTGAACCGATTTTGATGCGGTTTTCAGAAAAGTGTTTATTACACTTAGGAGAAGATTCTAGCTATAATTAACCGACTTCAAAAAAGAGGGGATTTTAGTCGGTATTATTAACGTAAGTTTTTAAAGGAAAAATTATAGAGTAACTAGTGGGTATATCAATATTTCTATAAGTAATCACAGACTTTTTTATAACGGGATGAACCAAAATGAAATATAGAATGCTCAGTATAAAACACCGATGATATTATTATAATGAGTAATACCTTACCAGCTTTAACTAGTTTTATGAGTTGACAAATATTTATTATTTGATTTGAACCATTTATTAGTGTGGGTGTATAACTGCACAATTAAATATTTACTGCACAAAATAAACTTACCGGCCTTAAAATATGCATAACTGTAGGTTCGATTATTATTGCTTGCTTCGTGGGGTCGTCGACGTCGTGGGGTGGTGCAGCTAAATCTTACTTACTCAAGTTAGAACGAGCCCAGAGGGCCATCCTTAAAGTAAGTTTATTCCTGCCTTTCCGTCACCCAACCTATGATCTATACCAGCGATTCAATGTTCTGACAGTTCGCCAGCTTTTCATCCTGTACACCGTTCTAAAAATGCACTCTCAACTACCATTTAATTCGGATAATTCTACAAGCAGGAGAAGACTTACTACCATCTGCCATATAGAAAGAAAACATTTTGGCTTCACTCAAAACTTCTTTACTTTTTTAGGCCCATACCTATATAACAAAATAAATAAAGAGCTAACCGTTCATTCTCTCACCAAAAGTAAATGTAAAGAAAGCGTCAGCGACTGGTTAATTAAACTAGACTATGAGGAGACTGAAAAAATTCTGAGACCACTTTCCTAAGCTACAACTGATGATCAATCACTACATTCATATCAACACTTCCACCTCATTCACTTCCCTATACACACCCACACATAACACACATAATACACATCAACTCACTCACTCACATACACACGCACTCACACTACATTGTTACACACCCACAGTAAATACTCACTCATACAATGTTGTCCATTTTCTTTAGTTAAGTAAATACTTTATATTGTTCAATGTCTCCGGGGGTCACCCGGGCCTGGTGATCTGTAACACAGGTTATACCTTTAACAGACACCAGTCTCTTAATTGTAATATATTATATAATTTGTATCCGTAGAGTATTTTTGAGAAAATAAAGATTTTTATTATTATATTATTATTATTATTATTATTATTATGCTTAGACAGATTCATTAAAACAGAAAGAGAACGCAATATCCATTAGATTTAAAAATATATAAAAAAAAACTAAAAGCAACAATATTTATTTGAAAAGCTACTGGAACATTCCTTCATAACTTTGTGTCATGGAAAATTCTCGTCGTTAATCCAATACCATCTGTATAAGTCCTTGTTCACTTTAAAATAACATTATTATAGCTCTTCGATATATTCAGCTGTTTCGTAATACAAATCAAAATGTATTCGTTAAATTAAAGTTGATGTCCTTTACAACAAATGTATATATTAAAATTCCATCTATAATTTCTACCATTAAATTCGTTTCATTGTAATTACTTGTGAATTTTGGTAATGTCATTTAAAGTTCATAAACGTATGAGTGTTTTATTTCTGTGCCTACCTACTATAAGTACTAATTGAAGATTGTTACAATAAAATTTCACTCACCCTTAGCGTGTTCTAAAAATTCTAGCTAGACTCTATCATAAACTACTTACTGTATTCCTTATTCGTAATAAAATAAGATCATTATCATCATCAACAGCCTATAAATGCCTACTGCTGAGCAAAGTCTCTTTTCCCACGAAAATGGTTTGAGTATTAATCACCACGCGTGCTTAGTGCGGGTTGGCGATTTCAAACTTATAATTAAAAATTATAAGTCCAGGTATTTTCAAAATGTTTTCCTTCATCATTTGTCAGTGGTGTCTAAATCATCTTGAAAGTACATGTAACTTGGAAGATTTTACATTGGTACTTGCCGTTAGTAGGTTTTAAACCCGCACCCTCATGAATGAGAAGTGGACGTCTTAAATCTCCAAATAAGATACTAACGTGGAAACCAAATACTTAGGTATTAACTGCATTGGTACATATATTTTTTTAATGACAACAACTTTGAAAACAGGACCCACTTTTATCAAAAACAGCTTGTCACACGTCAGGATACAAACCAACAAGTAACTTTAGCTCGCATTTATTTAACTACACGTACAATTAAACCGTCAACTGACTTCGTAGCAAACGCAGCCACGTGAACCTAACCGGTCGGTTACATTTACTGTTTCAAATCGACATTGACCTGCCTCACACCTCCATTCCACGTGTCCACATAGGAATTGAGACCCTGACATGGACCCACCCAAAATAAGGGCCTCAAACCATTACTTCATACTTTAATACCAACAAAGGTTAGACTCGGTATTCTCGGCCAATTATTCTTCAAATATTGGTAAGCTTGCCCAACTTCAATGTCGAATTTAAAGATGCCAAATTACTTAAAAATCTTAGTTTAGTTAGCCTTATTTAGTTGAAGGTTGTCGGTGTAATCTGGATCAAATATCGTAACACACGTAATAGGTCAACAGGCGTACGCGAATGCGACAGGTTTACCTTGTTTTACGCATTTTCTGGTCGTAGAGAATCCTCTGTGAAGCTATTTACTTATTTTACGGGCTGGTATTTCATAATATTTTTATTTATGTATAAAAGTGAAATATGTATTTCAAATATTTAAATGAAACGGGTTAGTTGAGACAGTAAATGTTATTGCAACAATGTCCTCCACGCAAAACCATAATTTGTTGTTTATTTTAACAAACATTTTAATAAAATTACCTTAACCTCGTTTATGGCAAAATTAATCCATATTTCATAGTGATGTTTGTTACGAAAATGTTTTTACAAGAAAAACGAGACCAAGGGTAGTTTTAAAATTAAAGTTTTAAAAGAGTAGGTATCAACATTAAAACTTGAAGATTTTCAATGTACTATAGTTTTTCTTTTAGGTATATCGAATATCTGCTTTTGAATATCGAACCCCAAAACGTCCAACACCCTATTCAATATGCAAATAGAACCACACCATATAACTTAATTTTTTTTTCTTTCCAGCATCCTTCATCAGACCATGCTCAAGATCAGATCCTAATCTAAATGAATGCGTGGAGAAAGTCATATCGGCGGCTGGAGCGAAGTTCACAGAGGGCATCCCGGAGCTGGGCATAGCTCCCCTCGACCCTGTGGAGTTGGGCACCGTGGTCGTGGACAACCCAGCCTTGAAGCTCACGTTCACTGATACAGTGGTCACTGGTTTGAAAGGATTCAGAATCAATACGTACAAGTACGTATTTTTAGACTTGTTTGACAAGTATTTTGAAATTATCTTAATACTAGCTGTTACCCGCGACTTCGTCCGCGTGAAATAACGACTTCTGTATAAATTGGGTTTTTTAAATTAGTCTTTGTCAAGGTATATTCTACGGCTGTACAACTGGAACAAATATCATCACAATCGATTCAGTACCTAGGTTATATTTATTGAGAAATGAATTTATTTTCGTGGTTTCTAAAATAAACAATCCCATAGAGGTTTTACCCGTACAGTGCCCGTCTCGTGAGGTTTCACTATTCTATGTTTGCAAATCAATGTTGTATCGCATTTCAATCAAATAGATATAGTGATTTTAACAGCACAGTTCCCGGTTTCGTGGGTTTTTCGGGTTAAAAACTTTTAGATGTCCTTTCCCGGGTCTCAAACTATCGCTGTACCGAATTTCCAAATAGGTTCAATGATTTAAAAGGTAAGAGCCCCTCTTTATTTCAACGTCCTTGGTCCTGGTTTTTTAGCGCATAGTTTCCGTCATTTTGGGATTTCCTCTCTCCTATAATGTGACCTGATATGTACCGGTGCGACGTGCGTTACTATCGCAAACATTTAAATGAAAAAATAGGTATTCTGATATTAGGTTAGTTACATATGATACATGTACTTTAATGTTGATATTAATGTCCTCTATAAGACTTAATACATCCCTTGGCTCTATTGTCCATAATTTCCACAGCGTAATCAATACCAATAATATAAGGAGTTTTTTTGGTAGTTTTTCACACATCGGGTTGTCATTACCTAAAGGAGATTTTTTTTGAGGTCGGAAAATCATCCAATCACTTCTCCCGCCTTGGGTTAGGTGAGAGGGAGTGACAGATTCTTACTGACTAAAATCCACTCCGTTCCTACTCCTGCTCGTCGAGCCGGAGCCCCGTCAACTCGTTAGGCCTCCCGCGGCACCGTATCGAGCATCAGCCCTACTGGGCTCCATCTATGATGGTGTCATGGCTCTGTAAGGCGCGCGCCGTATGCACGGGACTGGTTCTGGTCGGGTGGCGAGCTACCCTTGCTCTTCGTCTACAGACCCGCACTTACGGTGGCCGGTGGCCGGCCGATCTCCGACGCCCAGAGTGTCTCCCGCGACGGCTGGGGCGTGAGGAAGTTCATTCCCTCACGCGCTCCGCTTTCTCCTTGGCAAGCATAACTGCTTCGCAGAAGGATGCGACTGCATCCCAATCCCCCTCGCTCCATGGCCTGAACCAGAGCCGAACGCGAGAGGTCACCGTTTCCTACATCCCTGAGAACACGGCGGTGCTCAGCCCATGCAAGGTACACCGCCACGGTATGCTCCACCGTGTTCTCCGGGCGGTCCTTGCATTGATGGCCTCTCTAAAGCCACTTTTAAAGAGGGGACTTTCCGCTGCAATGACAGCGAGCCCAGCCCTCGGTTACCTAAAGGAGTGTTTCGCTGTGTAAGTGAGGTTACCGGAGGCCCAATTACCCCTCCCCCAGCCCCCCCAATCCCTGACAATCCTCAAATTACCAATTCCCAAAAGACCGGTAACGCACTTCTAGCACTTCTGGTGTTACAGGTGTCCATGGGCGGCGCAGATTGCTTACCATCAGGTGATCCGTCTGCTCGTTTACCGGCTTATGCCATAAACAAACAGCAAACTATCATAGTGAATTTGGCCTTGACGGTCTAAAATGAAAAGGACTAATATTATTTTTTAGCTATGTGCATTTAGCTAGTTTTTTTGATATACATATAAAAAATACGAATTCAAGTAAACTGAAAATATTTTATTCGTGGTTTTATCTCCTTAGACTGCTGTCAACCTCTTTGCATACCTTAATATTAATACCATAGTATAAAAAAAATCTATGACACATTGACTTTGTAAACTCACTTGTCACACAAATGTCAGATGACTTAAGAAATGTATACTAATAATATAAATTTCTATGTGCTTGTTTGTTTGTTTGTCCGTATTTCATGACAGAACGGAGTCAGGAAGGTTTTTGATTTGAGATAGTTGAAAAGATGGAGAGTATCATAGGCTACTTTTTGTCTTTTTCTAACCCCCTTCCACTTCCGTGAAACAGAGGTGAAAGTTTGTATGGGGTATTTTGCAATTTTCAATGTGGAAAGCTAACAATTGGTATGCGGGTTATGTGACCAGCATAGAATCGTGCATTTCATTTTTTTTTGTAAATCCTTCCCTCCCATTAAAAGAACGCGAGAGAAGTCGCAGACAGAGGTAGTCTATGAATAAATTGTATTCAGTCAATTGAATTTTTTTGTTTAAAATCCCTGATCCCTGATGCAGCTGAATACTATTATTATTCCTTGAAAACATTTTTATACGTTGATGCCAAAATATATTATGAAAGTAGGACGCCATAACAATTACAAATCATTAGGTTGTTACCTGTCAGATATCCGTTTTCAGGTTTACAGATAAATCGTAATAATTATTCTTAAAACTCGACGTAGTGAGTCGAAATTTCAAAAACGCTAGAACAAATGTTTTATTATTTTTTATCAAGTGCTTAAATATAAAGTTTCATGGTTTTATCTTTAAAAAATATGAAATCCCATACAACTCCCTCCCCCCTTTTAACCCCTTACAACCCCTTTTTCGCGATAAAAAGTAGCCTATGTTTTATCTCGGGGTCTAGAATATCTGTATACCAAATTTCATTCAAATCCGTTCAGTAGTTTTGGCGTGAAAGAGTAGCAGACAGACAGACAGACAGAGTTACTTTCGCATTTATAATATTAGTTAGGATGTAAACAGTAATGAAAGTGCCCCATTCAAGTTGCTTTAAGGTTAATCAGAAATGATAGGGTCCTCCTACAATTACCTATTTGATTTCATCATCATCATCATCATCATCATCATCATCATCAACAGCCTATAAATGCCCACTGCTGAGCAAAGCCTCTTCTCACACGAAGAAGGTTTGAGCATTAATCACCACGCTTGCTCAATGCGGGTTGGCGATTACAAACTTATAATTAGAAATTATAAGCCCAGGTTTCCTCACGATGTTTTCCTTCACCGTTTGTCAGTGGTGTCTGAATAATCTTAGAAAATACATATAACTCGGAAAAAGTCACATTGGTACTTGCCGTTGGTAGGTTTCGAACCCGCACCCTCGTGCATGAGAAGCGGGCGTCTTAAACCTCCGGGCCACCACGACCACCTATTTAATTTAGAAGTCTGTATTTAGAAAAAAAGATACTGGGCAAATTGAGAACCTCCTTCTTTTTGAAAAAATCGGTTAAAAATAATAATATGAATGGGGCTTTTAAATAGCGTCACTTATGATGAGGTATGACATAACTTTTTTTTTGTCTACAGAATCAACCCAGACAAGGGAAAGGCCACCTTGGACTTCACGGCCAATGTAACGTTGAAGGCTCACTACGATATGAACGGGCAAGTTCTCATCCTGCCCATCAGGGGTAACGGACAGTCGAAGATCAAAATAAGTAAGTACACAGTACAGTCCATTTGATTAGGTGCGTCTAGTTATCTATATCAGGGTACCTACGAGTACCAAATCGAACCATAAAATATCATAAAGCCTGGTAAACAGCAACCTACAGTCAACGTACAAAACAAATATCAACAATCGATTCGAACTCAAAATAACAGTTTTGAAGGTTCTTCCTGAGAACACTGAACAAACAACAACTACTTATATACTAAAGAAGAACCGACTAAATACTCAATATGGATATTCCCATTCCCTTTCATTAAAAACCTGTACAAATTCCAGTAGTAAACTGGAATATAGAGCAATTTGACTAACATGTATTTACTTAAGTACAACGGGTTTGTAAGACCGGCACTAAATATACATACTTGCACAAGTCAGCCGGTTGTTAAAGGAAGCGCAAGAATTAATTGAGGGCTACCGTAGTCGGTAGCTGCACACGAAATATTATGGTAGGGCTTGAGGCAACACTTTGATGTACAGTTATTAGAAAGGTCAATTCAATGTCAGATCAAATCGTGCTAGTTTTTTTATAGCACAAGCCGGTAAACAAGCAGACGGATCACCTGATGGCAAGCAATCGGCGTCACCCATTGACACCTGGAACACCAGAGGCGTTACAAGTGCGTTACCGGCTTTTTGGGGATTAGGAGTTAGAGGATCGTTGGGGATTCAGTGATTGGGGAGATTGGGGAAGGGGAGGGTAATTGGGCCTCCGGTAACCTCACTCACACGACGAAACACAACGCAAGCGTTGCTTCGCGTCCGTTTTCTATGAGGCCGTGGTATCACTCCGGTCGAGCCGGCCCATCCGTGCCGAAGCATGGCTCTCCCACACTTGTCAGATGTCAGATCAAATCGTGCTAGTTCAACTTAGATTGATAGAATAATGGCTAGAAAACTGTTCTGTTTTGATTTTCAAAGTCTAAGGCCAAGTAGCCTTTGAAGGCTGTGTAAAGATACCTATTTTCCAGATAAAGACCAATAAAAAAATACCTAAGCTTATATCTAAGATATGAGGACACGAACATAACAAAATTAGTAAATAAAAACAACTCTCTGTTGCGCAACATGTTGCGGGTTCACATCCAGAACCGGGACAAATTTGTTGTCTGTAAATTTAATCAGTACGTATGATTAAAACCAAATAAATAGGTACCTAGATTGATCTACTGACAGCCTCGTTGGCCGAGTGGGCGCAAGTGCGACTGCTGATCAAGAGGTCTCGGGTTCGATTCCCGGGTCGGGCAAAGTATTACTGGGTTTTTAAAAATCTCAGTAGTAGCACTGAGTCTGGAAATGTGCCCGGTATATGGCAATAGGCTCACCCCCTATTACATGGCGCTTAAAACATAAATAGTGAAAAGTGAGTGTTACATTCTACAGTGGCATTTATTGCCGTAATGTGCACTTCTGCCTACCCCTTCGGGGATAAAAGGCGTGATGTTATGTATGTTGTTTATGCTAGATTGATTTATATATTTCCGTTTTTTCATCAGCGAATCTCAACATTGTCGTCAAGTATGACTTCGAAGAAAAGGACGGACATTGGATAGTGCCCAGTTACAAGGACCACTACAAAATGGACAGAGCTCAGTTCAAGTTCACCAACTTGTTCGGGGGTAACAAGGAGCTTGGTAAGACCAGTTTGTTATTTAATATTTAGACTTTTCACCTTGACCTTGAATACTATTTAGCATAATTAGGTGACAAACTACCGCCACATGATACGATGATGTCATCTACTCTACTCTTGAACTAAAAACCGTTAAACAGATTCATATCTACGCTACTCTATATAAATATTTAACAAGAACATAATATAGATGTCTTTAGTTAAAAGCACCTAGAAGAAGCACTAAAAGACGATGAATTAATATTCTAAGTACCTACTACTTAGAATATCTATTAATTCGTCGTCTTTTAAACCTGCTAAATTCGTACTTTTCAAAAACAATAAAAAACAAAATTAAAGTCAATCTCAAACATGATTCTATCTACTGATCTGATTCTATCTATCTAGATAATCACAATCACAACACCACACTAATCATACGTAATCAACAATTTACTTACAGCACAAACAACAGAAAGGTTCACAAATGAAAACTGGGAGATTATAATGAGTGAGATCGCACCGCCCGCCCTCAAGCAGATTATTAAAAAATGCGTCGATCAAGTGAAGAAGTTCTTCGCCGCAATCCCCGCTAGAGAACTACTACCCTGAATGGTTGGACGCTACGAATTTATCAACATTTTGTACTAAAACATTAACTAAATTGGTTCCTATGTTCTTAACATTTTGGGTTCCTGGTTGCAATACAAAAACTTATACTTACACCATTGCCACTTACATATACTTACACTAACTTATACCTACATACAGAAATCAATTGCTCCATAAACTAACTACTTACGAGGTACTTAGACTTTACTTAATTTGTACATTACCTACTTACCTTAACACTGTTCTGTCTTTATTAGACAGATCATCATCATTCATTCATTCAGTAGGTTCGACGACTGCTTGATTTGAAGACCTTCTTCTGCCATACTCGAATTGGTGCATCTCTCTACTTTTTTCTGTTTAAATTGAAATATAGACTGTATCAAGTTTGTAATGATAATAATTTTGCAGGTGACACAATCCACCAAGTAATAAATATTAATTGGGAGCCTGTGATGCGGGACATCGGGCCAGCCGCCTTCCAACAAATCATCAAAGCCTGCGTCGACGAAGCGAAGAAGCTGTTCGCAGCAGTTCCACTCAACCAACTGCTGCTACCATGAACTTCTATCACTTATCGGTATAAGTGCCTTGAAAAGGCAAAAGTGCTCAATTAACATAAAATTCGTTTTAGAATTATTTGTATACAAATTCATACGCTGTTCGGTAAAAGACAACGGGGTGAACGGGAATCGAGAGGTGGATCGAGGCAGGTGAATATAGATATCTACTATGAAGAATTTCCAAATAGCTACCTATTTATCACCTCACCTCACCTCTCAATTCCTGCGCACCCCGTCTGTCGTCTCATCTTGTGAGAATATCTCAAAATCGATGTGAAACTGCAAAAAGTTAACTTTTAACTACAGAATCAGTAATTTTCTTTGTCGATGCACGTTTTTCGTAATCCTGCACGAAATAACTACTATACAAGACTGTGTTTGATCATTTGTTTGTAGGCGTACCTACCTACCTACGTATAAGTTGGTTAATAGTAATACATATTGTGATAATTAGTCTAAGTTAGTTCTCTTGGTACTAGATTTAATTTATTCATGAATAAAATGGATGATGTGTGACTGATTTTCTTGTTTTATTATGTATCCCTGGAGTGAGACTCTCACGAAATAACTAGGTAATTGTTATCGTGAAATTAAGTTACACAAATTCTTACTCCTTCGTTAGTTCTCTCCAAATTTTTTCTTTGCATACCTCCGTATCGTAAAAAGTCGCGGATTCGCTTCTCGCAATAAAAGCTATCTTCGAGTAACACACAAATTTATTTTTAGTGTGGGGCCACAATAGTTTGGTTGGTGATATTTACCACTTTTATCAGACTAATTTAATAATAACTATGGTTATCAAATACATAATGACCTGCCCTATTGACCTTATGGATAAATCTATAAGTAATATTGTTTCACCAAGTAGCTACTAGCGCTATCTATGGATTCGTACAAAACAACATAAACTCAATAATAAATATAAAACTTTCTGGTCAAGAATACTATAACTGACAGATTGGCATATTGTTTAGCAAAAAATACTTTCTGAAACCTATTCTTGTAACTATATAGGTATGAACAATAGAACACAATTAAAAAGAAAATATTGGACATAGAAGAACAACAAGAATAAAATGATAAGGACAAAATAATAATTAGTAAAATATTTATTAAACAATAAACAATTTAACAAAATAATATAAAAGTTGATCAAATCAATCATAAAAAGAACAGAAAAATGAATATATGTTTTGTAAATGCATTTAAAACCTTAAAAGTATTGGCACGTCGGTAGTTTGATATAGTATTTGAGTGAGTTTATCGAGGGCACATAGCATGTCTGCCTCCATCTACAGGCACACTGACTCCAGTGATATTGCTGGCCAGGTCACTGGCCAAGAAAGCAATAGTAGCAGCTACTTCATCGGGTTGGCCTGGGCGACCCAGAGCATGAGTCTCCTTAGTCCGCACCAAGAATGCTGCATACTGCTCTTCTGTCATACCTCCCCGCTTTTGTAACTCAGTCAGAATGACTCCAGGGTTGATACAGTTCACCCTCACACCTTTTGGTGCCAATTCCAAGGCTACACACCTTGTGAACTGATCTACAGCAGCTTTCGACACATTGTAAGCAAGAACTCCAGGGAAAGAACGAATACCATTAACACTGGATATGTTCACGATGTTACCTTTCGTTTTGATCAAATGTGGAACTGCTAGCATCGTTAAATGATATATAGAACGGACATTCGTGTTCATCAGACGGTCGTACTGCCCTAAAGACGTATTTTCAATCGTGCCTGTCTCAATAATGCCCGCATTGTTTACCAATACGTCGATTTTACCATAATGATCGATTGTGTTCTTTACAATTTTTTCAATGTCACTTTCTTTCGTCAAATCAGCAGGAATAGAAAAGATTGACGAAGGCTCCTCACATTCTTGACAAACTTTTTTCAAGTTCTCGACGTTTCTACCAGTCAGTGATAGTTGAGCGCCCAACTTTGATAAGAATACAGCTGTTGCAGCACCGATTCCAGAACTTGCGCCGGTTAAAAGCACTACTTTGCCTGTGAGACTCATTTTTGATAGCAGAGTAGAGTTTGCTGTTACCTGGATACCTCTGCTGAGTGACATGGGAGAAAATCTGATTTATTTTTAGTAAACTTTACACTTTCAAAACTTATAATTAGTAAGACTAAATCACGAGCTCCCTTATCGCTAACTTTGTTACATAATATTATAATACAAAAACAACTTTTATCAAGCATTCATGATTTGCTAAAGAAAAAATAGCCGGCATAAATTATAAATAAACATTGCCAGTAAGCGCACGTAACGCAATTGAATAACCACATCTCATTGGTTTAAAATATCCACCAAAATATACACCAATCAGAGAATGCTAAAACTGAATAACCTAACCTTAACATATTTTCATAGTGATTTACTTCATAAATAAGTGAGTAAACACCGTACTTTCTCAAGTCCGGTTTTTGGAAAATCGAAAATTAAGAAACCGAATGTTCCAAAGTAGCCCGCTAAAATTTAAATTTTCTTCAATTATTTATTGCGATTATCAGCTCGATATCGGATAGTATGATAATTTAAAATGTATATGTAAAATAAAAATTGGGATGTTTTTATTTTATGCTTTTATGCACGTGGTGGGCACCACGTAGTCCAGAGTCCTGTATAATACTGATACAGCAGATTGGCAGATACGCAGATACGATACATGTACGATACATGTCTATGTTCCTGACACACCTCACATCTTGTCCTGAAAGAAGGATTTATTTTATAGTGATACATTATGATTGTGACCAAATAGATTAAATTAGTTTACCAAAGCAATGTCATAACAGTTTGACGTTTTGTTTTGAGTAAGTAAATTTTTGTAATAAACGAAATAAACATGTAGGGTTTTTAAACAATTTATTAAATATTTTTAGAAACTAAATTTACAGTATCGTTTTATCCATGGCTAAAGTAAGTTTAGTTTGTTTTATAGCATTATGTCGTGGACATAATGATAAAAAACATTATGTCGTCGACACGACCACGGTATATGCTTGGTATATGTATGTACCTTGTTATAACATGGTGTTTTTTAAATCATTTTTTCTTGTAGAAAGAAGTTATTCATATCCACATTGGACAGGCAGGGGTACAAATAGCCAATGCATGCTGGGAACTTTATTGCCTTGAACATGGTATAAGATCAGATGGCATTTTAGCGTTTTCTAATGATGATGAAAACTATGCAGCATTCTTTAGCCATACTGGTGCTGGAAAAGTCGTACCCAGAGTCGTTATGATTGATTTGGAACCAACTCCAATTGGTAAGTAGGTAGGTAGTTGTAGTAGAATAAAAGCTTCATAAAACTTTAGTCTTTACTATTTTAGTTTGATTAATATTTATCTAGTTTTATAAAGTTAAAAAACCCAGCAATGCTTAGTATGTTTGATGTATCAATTGGATACACCAAAATTCCCAAATTACTCAAAATCCTTTCTCAGTAGTCATATTTTCAATTTTAATAATAAAGTCATATGGTTTTTTTACAGATGAAATAAGAACTGGGGCATATCGGGAGCTATTTCATCCTTCTTCTTTGCTTACTGGTAAAGAAGATGCGGCTAGCAATTTTGCTCGTGGTTACTTTAGCGTCGGCCGAGAGATGATTGATTTAGCGTTAAATCGTGTAAGGATCGCTGCAGAAGACTGTAATTCCTTACAAGGTTTCATAATATTTCGTTCGTTTGGAGGCGGTACTGGCTCTGGATTCACTGCTTTACTACTGGATGGTTTGAGCAGGGACTATGGAAAATTATCTAAAGTAGAATTTGCCATCTATCCGTCCCCAAGAATTTCTCCAATAATTGTTGAACCATATAATGCCGTCTTAACCAGCCACGCAACTATGAATACAGAAGACGTTTGCTTTATTTTTGATAACGAAGCCTTATACGACATCTTGTCACGCCTCTTAGATACTCCACGACCTACATATACTAATTTGAACCGACTTATAGCTCAGGTAGCCTCTGAATAAATATATTATAATGGGGTTTAATATGGAATGTCCACAAATTAACATTCTTCACATGAATAATTAATAATTTTCAGGTTGTGTCGTGTATGACTGCTTCAATGAGATTTGAAGGTTCACTAAACGTAGGACTCGTTGAATTCAGGACAAATCTTGTCCCATACCCAAGAATACATTTTCCATTGGTAACCTTCGCACCATTTGTACCAGCTACGAAAGCCATGCATGAATCAAATACTACACAGCAATTAATGATGCAATGTTTTGAACCTAGCAATCAGATGGTTAAATGTGATCCTAGACAAGGAAGCTACATGTCTTGCTGCTTATTGTTTCGTGGGGATGTGAATCCAAATGATATCAATTCAGCAATAAATCAAATTAAATCTATGCGTACAATCAAATTTGTTTCATGGTCTCCTACTGGATTTAAGGTATTTTGGTTTTCTACACTCGCTTGTCTATTCTACTTTCAATAAAGTACTTATTATAGTAGAAGCACTTTTAGAATAACAATTGAAATATTTATCTATTACCTACAGATTGGTCTTAACTATCAACCTCCAATGACAGTCCCTGGCGGTGATTTAGCTGCTTTAATGAGAGCTGTCGTGATGGTGTCGAACAGTTCATCAATACGAGTAGCTTGGGAGCGTCTGTGTAAAAAATTCTCATTAATGTATGCTAAACGTGCATTTGTTCATCATTATGTTGGTGAAGGTTTAGAAGAAGGTGAATTCAAAAACGCTCTAATGAACATTAAAGCATTAGCAAGAGATTATAAAGAAATGGAAGATTAAAATCAAACGTGTGATTATATAAATGTTAATATTGTGTACGAAAATAATGTTGTAGACTTTGTCGTTAAGGAAAGTTGTAAACAGTACAGAACCTACGAAATAAGATAACAAAGTGAATAAAACCTACATTGATTTAATTATTTATTTATTTTCCTCATTATAATACAAACCTATCGCTTTGATTCGGGTGGAACTTACGAATGATATAGCCTATCATTTATGTCTATAAAAGCCTAAAAGCTCAACCATATTTGTCAGCTCATGGATGGGAGTAGAACTATCCTCGAGTACAAAAACGTACTTAACCATCTTAAGTATATAGCATAACACCTTCGGAAATAGACGTGAAATATTTTTGAATACTTGATAAATGTATTATTAGTTTACAAATTCAGTCTGTAATGATTCTTATAAGAAAACTATTTTTAAGAATAAATTATTACGGTTTTTAGGCCATTGGGCCACTGCATTTACTGCACTGCACTACTTGGTTTACAAGCTGTCAATGTCATGTGTCAAACAAAATTACAAAACGTCAACGATTACATTCGCAGCACCACGATCCGGTCGCGATATTCGCGTCGTGGTTGTGTTGCTTTATTAAATAGTTGACTAATTAGTCTGAAAGCATTTTATAATCAAGAGAACAGTATTCTATTCCGTGTATAACATTACTTTAAGTTAAAGTGTAGTGCTGACAAATTTTCATCAATTCCAATTCAATAAGTTCTTGAAATATTTACAAGTGAGTTATTATTTTTATAGATAATCCTGAATATACTTATCTAATAAGACGGCCGAATACCTTAATGCGATTAGTTTTAGTATCTGGGTAACTATATCGGCTAGATTTTGAGTTAGCAACTTCAGTAGTATAGTAACATGTTTCTTCAATAAATTTATATTGCCTAATATTATGTAAACTCTGCTCCTACGCTTTAGCAGGATTGCTATAATTAATTAGTAACTTTAATATTTTATTACATTTAATTACTAACATACATATAAACATACTCAATTAATATTATATTGATTTCCTCAAAATTGGCCGAAATAAGCTTTACATAGAGAGGATTGGAAGGAGGGTAGGGAGGCCTTTACCCTGCAGAGGGACAATCATGGCTGAAAATAAATAAAAATAGAATTGATTTTCTCAATCAAATACCAAGTACCTACTTATTTTGTAGTTGAATGTATCTTGAAAGTAATATTTTGAAACTATCTGTGTCTGATTCTGTTTAATTCCATAACACATAATTTACTAACACATTAATTATTGTAACAATTCTAATTAGATCAGTTAAATGGAACCATGTCCTGGCCTATTATTATTAGTTACCAACTGAAGTGATTAATTAATATTTCCAGAAATGTTAAGTCTATCACACCTGTGCCGCTGCACACAGTCACTGCGGGTGGCTCAAAGCAAGTTACTGGTGTCTGGTGCAAGAAATGGCTTCAACACAACAAGCATTGTCAGCCGACAGCTCATCACACAGAATAATAAAGTTGGACGGTTCAAAGGACTAAGGGTTAGTTCACAGTACTATTTTAAAATCAGTGTCTAATTGACCATCTATGAGCGTAACCGTAACATGTTATACTAAAAATAAATAAAATTATCCATCAGTTACAATTGGGTAGTTGACAGCGTAAAAAAAATTAAAATTCTAATTAGTCTGTCAGAGAATAAAAAATATTAGACACATATTTTTTTATTTTGTTGTATACTTAGATATAATGAATCAAAGTTAAGGAGGGGGCTAAAACGTCATTTCTAAAATGTACATAGAAGTGACGTCAGATGACATTTCAAATCAATATATTGTCCAAAGTATTTATTTCTGTAAAAAAATATGTGTCTAATGTTTTAAATAATCTACCAGATGGACAACCCTTTGAGTACCGTCATTATAGACACAATTAAAGAACAATAGGTTGCGGTCACCGGTGTCCTCGCGGTGTTTGACAGTTTAAAATAAAAATTATTCATCTACCTTATTGCAGGAAATTAATTAGTATTTGTGAAAAGACTTTTTAAGTTCAGATCAACTTAAACACCTGGTTTTGCTCAAATTTCAGGCAATTTTCCATCAAACCTTACTAACTTGAATCTGTTATTGGCTCCATAATTCCTCCTCATAGAAAATTGAAATGACTAAAAAGTAACTTTCTAGTATTATTACTGATTACTTTGAAATTGAAACCCTGATAATAATTGTTATAAAATCACCACTTTCTAAATCAGGTTTATTGCTAAACAAACATGTTTGTTTATTACATTCTGTTATCATGTGTCTTCTCTAGACATGTGTAATGTTGCACTTGTTAGTAAATTGTGATTATCTCGCAACCACTTCAAATAATAGACACAATCCACATAGAGTTGATATGCAATTATGTATGTAACAGTGTGATGTAGGATGTTAAGAACATAACATCACTTTTCACTAGTTATGAAGATTTGAGGCTTATTTGCGGTGTCAAACACCCAAATACTAAAAAGCTACTCAATTGTACCAAGTTGTACTTATACATCGTGCCATCTCTGTTATTTTACAAAATATTTGTAGTGACGGGACTAAACTACGCACAACTTAAATTGAGAGTCGTTCGAGTATTTGAACATTGGTTCATCTTGAAATGTAACTTTTGAAAATTGATATTGAATGACACTTGTGTCACAGTATACTAGATACCATTGACCTTGTGCTCTTTCTCAAAAATTTGGCATTTTTTTGATAACAATTTGTTGATAATGTCTTAATTATTTTGCAATAAGTGTGTGTGTGTAATATATTATACAGAAAATGAGATGATCTGATTTTATACATTTTAGATATGATTAAATAAATAAAGTTTATTCATAATTCAAAAATGCAAAATACAAAAATATGTTTCAAGTAAGTAAAATTGATCTCATAAAGTTAGATGCCTGCACTAGGATAATCCTGTATCGCAGGCGAAAGGAGCTCTATACATTACACTTATAGGAAGACATCTTATTTCTAAAAACGTAACTACATACTTATCATTATGCAACAGTAAGATTAATTTTAATAGACACATACTTTATTAGATATTTGATCAAATTAGTCAAATCAGTCCAGAATATAAACAAACTTTCCATTCCTTGCAAATAAATTGGCATACTCTGCATATAAAATTAATAATTATTTCATCAATGCATATTTCATGCATTCATAATTTCAATCGCATTAGCAACATATTATCACGAAACACAGACTATTGGAAATTCTAGACTTTGGTATATAATACAATGTTGATTAACTGAATGTCTGATTACGAAATTCAGTATCATTCTTATTGATAAACAGCTTGATTGCAATATTATATTTACACTTATTATTTTATCTAATTTAAATAATTTGTATCATCATATAATATTAATCTATCTGCAGTAACCCAAACATCCAATTCGTGAATACTAAATTAAGTCCGGTTATTTCATTGATATGAATTTTAGTGATATTCCTTTGTGTTGATCCAGACTATAATCTATCTTTGTACTCGAAGTAGTTTTTAATGAACAAACATAAATAAGAAGGTACTTCCATACATCCTTACAAACTTCCGCATCTATGTATAATATTAGTAGGAAGTAGGGGATAAAGATAAAGATAAAGATACTTTTATTTTGCAAATATGGGTAACAATTACAGGTGACATAAAAATACAGGTTCAGCCATATTTTACCATTTAAGCATGCAAATGATATACATAGTAAAATGCATTGGATAATATGTTACAATTGAAGACAAACAACCCAATAAAAAGAAAAAACATAAACAAAAAAAGAAGACCATAAATTAGGAACACAGATTTCAATTCAAGCACTTACAAAAAAAAATCCTTCTCATTCAGATACTCAGGCAAACTATAATATGCTTTAGCCACTAAAAAGCTTCGGAATCTTTTTTTTAATAAATGTAGCGGAAGCTCCTTCCAACCCTTAGGTATCCTATTATAAATAACTGAAGCCATGCAGTAGACACTCTTGCGCATAAGTGCTGTCTTAGCTGGCTCTTTACATAGCAGACTATTATCGCGTCTGTTGCGGGGAAATACATCGGCCATGCGATTAAAACGACTAGGGTTTGTCTTCACGAACACAGCTACTTCCAGGATATACAAACTAGGCAACGTCAATATTTTGTAATTTTTAAAGAATGGTTCACAACTAGGTATCTGTAGATTTTAGCTTAAACATCGCTCGTAAGCACTTTTTTTGTGCTTTGAAAGCGGTTTCTCTTTCAGTAGAGTTTCCCCAAAATATAATCCCATACCTCAAATGTGATTCTACAGTTCCATAGTAGGCAGTAAGAAGTGCATTTCTGTTGACTATAGTTGATAATCTGTGTAATGCATATGCAGACTTACTTATTCCCTTACATAAACTATCCACTTGTGATTTCCAATTCAATTGTTGATCTATTTGCAAACCCAAAAACTTTGTACTTTCAACTTCTTCTATAGTATTATTGTTGTTCTGTACTTTCAAATTTATACTAGCAGTCTGTTGTCTAAATTGGATAAATTTCGTCTTATTTAAATTTATCTTCAAATTATTTGCATCTAGCCAGTCTACTGTTTGTTTTAAACTATTGTTAATATCTCTCTCGTACGTAACTATATTTTTACAAGGAATTGTAATCGTACTATCATCTGCAAAGAGTGTTATTGGTTGGTCAATAGATTTTGGTAGATCATTTATATATAAAATGAACATTAAAGGGCCTAGTACGCTACCCTGTGGTACCCCAAATAATACTTTACGCTCTGAAGACCGATATATCTCATCATGCTTAGTTTCCATGTTAATCTTATTGATTTGAGTTATTTGTTTTCTATTATTTTGTAGGTATGAACTTAATAGACTAAGGACATATAATAAGATAGGGGATAGAATAAGAAGTAGTTTATTTATTACCCAATTTACTAAACTGAGTATAGATGCTGATTTCTTATAACTATTGTGTTAATTATTATGTTTTCGGCTTACTCACGCTTGACGAGGAACTCGAGTGTCGCCGCGTCGTGGGTCGCGGGTCGCGGAATGCAGGTCATAAATATGAGCCTATAGCATGGCTTGAAACTAGTCGAGTTCCTCGTCAAACAGTCACGTGTGTAAGCCGAAAACACAATAATTAATTTAGTCCAAAGTTTTAATATAAACTATTGTGTGGTTAGTGATTTTATACTGATACAATTTTAATTTTATTTTGCAGCTCACAGATCTCTTCAAACCCCAAAGCATAGTGGTCCGCTTCTGCCAGAATGCACCAAAGCAGAAATCCTCAAAAGTAGTCGGATACTGGCTTCTAGGATGTTCGGGGATGGTGTTCACGGCAGTTGTGCTAGGTATGGTAGCCGGCTATCTTATACTGTTGTATAGCATATATTATGTTATTGAAGTAGCACTCAAAACTACCGATCCTAAAAAGTAGGGAATGTTATATAGGTTTAATGGGGTAATCTTTGTAGCATTTAGATTGACTAGCACAATTTTGTCTAATATCTCAATAAATTTTGACAAAGCTTTTTATTGGGTTTTGGGCATTTTGCTTTGTGTTTGTTCCGAGTCGAATATTCATTTGTATTGTAACCTATTAATTGGACTGTTATTGTTACTATATTTATAAAAAAAATGCATTTATTTTATCATAATATAGTCCTCTGTTGTAATCTAAATACTATTATTTATATTTATGCTTGCAACATCTTAAATGGATTTGTATAAGCATACTTAAGTGTTACATGAGTCTGAGAAAAATATTTATTAATATATTTAGTATTAATGGGTGAATAAGCATAATACTTTTGAATTAGCCTAAAGTTGACACTATTGTGTTACCTATGTACCTGTAGTCTAGAGATTGAAATATTTGTATGTGATACGCACTAGTAAGGACTCAATATATTCTGAAAAACCTTAAAAAAATAGATTAATCTGTTAGCTATAAATGTGTATGTTTTGCATCGAATAAAGATGGTAACAATGTTACGTTTTGTTTTATTTCCATTTTATTTATAAAACATTCACAAGAATGTTGATACAATATGTTTGACTTCATTGTTTTGATGTTCTGTTCAAAACAATTTTATCAAAAGCAATGATTGTTTGGGTTTGTTACTGACATTAAGCATACACCCAATATAATATGCTTATACAGTGCAGTAATATACAGTGCTTCAGAATTATTCAAAGTTCAAAATTATGATAAATATAATATCTGTAGAAACTAAATAGTTTTCTAGGAACTAGTTTCCGATTACGGTTTATTTGATATATTGCAATTTTGCTTAGTGCCAGAAAAGTTCTGGTTAAAAAATATAGATTACTATATTCTATCTATCAAATGTAGTGTGCAACAGTAGGTAGAGCATTAGATATACCTAATTACATAACTCTGCATGTTATTGTAATTGCGATAGTTTTACTTATATATTTTCTTTATGGTGTGCAGGTGGTGTGACCAGGCTAACGGAGTCAGGATTGTCGATGGTGACATGGAAACTCCTTGGCGAGAAGATGCCGAGATCTGAAGAAGAATGGCAGGAGGAGTTTGAGAAATATAAGCAGTTTCCTGAGTTTATCTAGTATGTAGACCATGATTATTACGCCATATTTACCCAAAAAGCGACAGTTGGAGTGTCGCACATATTTAAGTGTATCACCTATTCTTCACAAGATATGACATTGTCATGTAATTGGGATCCTCTATGAGATCACGACTGTTGTCATATACTGGGCGGCAATCTAAACTTTATGCTATCGCTGAGAACTGACGAGAACCTTAGCAACCCTTTGAACAGCACCTACGCTTGCGACTATTCCGGTGGCTGACGTGTCAATCAATATTAAATAACTTATAATATATTTATATCTTTTTTCCAGTAAGAACCAAAACATAACACTATCAGAGTTCAAATGGATCTGGTACATGGAGTTCGCTCACCGTACGTGGGGACGTGCTATTGGTGCGGCAGTGTTCCTGCCGGCCGCCTTCTTCTGGGCTAAAGGCTATCTAGACAAGGGCATGAAGGTTAGGGTCGGGGTTTACTGCGCACTCGTCGCTGCTCAGGTAACAATCTATGTGACTTGCTTAGTTTATGTTACAACTCCTTATGTACGTATGAAGAGTAGAATCAGACTATTTGAGTTGAGGCAATATTAGCTAATTAGCAATGGATATAGACAATAATGGGCAACCAATGACTATGCAACATTCTCAGTTCGATATTGATTAACTCGGTGTGATCCAAAAATTGTTGCTTCAGCTATTACTATTTGAGCAAATTCTCGTCCACCCACACAACTTTTTTCTCAAAAATTGGTCAAAGCTTATTCTTCTACTAAAACTATTTATTATATTTACAGGGTCTTATGGGCTGGTACATGGTTAAATCTGGTCTAGAAGACCGTTTCCAAGGACCATCAGATGTACCCCGAGTATCTCAGTACCGGCTCGCAGCACATTTGAGTTTGGCTTTCATCCTATACTCGGGACTCCTGGCTGGAGCCTTAAGGGTGCTCCGCCCCTTCCCCACTGCCTCCACATTCAGGACTCTAAAGGAACTGACAAGCATCACTGCGCTTGCGCATTCTGTTAAGGCTATGGCGTTCTTGACTGCTGTTTCAGGTATGTTATTAAATATCAGATTTTTTTAAACTTAATAAAATTGGCTTCTGTTACTAAAGTTCTTACTTTATAATCAAATACGAGGTATGAGACGTAAGGATGGATTTGTACCTACTTTACATAGACTGAGAATTTCCAGAACAAATCATTAAAGCTTCGAAAACTCGAGAATCAAACTCTATATTTCTCAATCGGCAATCGTACTTGCAGCTAATTTACCAAAAATGCCTTCTTGCGTTTCCTGATACTACCATTATTTTCCCAGGCGCCTTCGTAGCCGGTTTAGACGCCGGCCTAGTCTACAGTTCCTTCCCAAAGATGGGAGATAAGTGGATCCCTGATGATGTCCTGGAATTTTCACCCACACTACGTAACTTTACTGAGAACCCCACGACGGTGCAGTTTGACCATAGGATCCTTGGCACCACTACCTTGGCACTGGTCACCGGGTTGTGGTACTTGTCTAGGGGGAAGGCACTGTCTCCCATGGCCAGGAGGGTCGTTAATGGAGTTGGAGCTATGGCCTGGTTGCAGGTGATTATACTTTATGTTTCAGTATAACTGGCGGATTTACTGATTTAGAGTTACAAAATTCATGTTGAATGAGTTATATGGATATTGAATCAATGCGAGGTGAATGTTGAGTAAATGATTAAGTAAGATGAATATTTTTGGATGTTGATATAAAATATGATAGGCAGATGACTCATGGATTGGATGGGTGATACACAAATATGTTGTATATGTTGGATGGATGACTTGAGTCCTTGTTTTTATACGTGATTATAATTACCTACTTATAGGTAGTAACAGTAAAGATTGACTACTTATAGTAACTATCGTGAGACATGGGGAAGAGCTCCCTTGTGGCTCGAAACTAGTAGAGCTTTTCTTAGTAAATTCACGTAATCCGCGATTTTTAGGTAACTTACTACTTATTTGCTAATTTGCCTGCCCCCAGGTGACGTTGGGTATAATGACGTTGCTGTACTACGTGCCGACCCCGCTGGCCGCGTCGCACCAGTCTGGCTCGCTAGTCCTGCTGTCCCTCGCCATCTGGCTCACGCACGAGATCAAACTATTGAAATACATACCAAAGTAATGCACCACCAACACAGACTGTTACTGTAACTTATTGTAAATTAAACTTATTTTAGTGTTACAAATATCTAGTTTTATTTTGTTTATGTACTATTTACATGGGTAGGGTCGTTCATCATAGAATACAATACACAAATAATGTTATTCACAAAGTGTTTTTATTTGAAAATTTAAAATGCTAATATTGCTTACACACTGAAAAACTGTTTTATGTACAAAACTGTGTGTAGACAAATCGCAGATGTGTTGCGTCGAGCCGACTGCGCCGGCGCTCCATAATATACAAGTTGAATATAGCCTTACGATACACGCAGTGAATTTGTTATTTCATATAAATCTATCTATCTACATACTTGTAACAATACAGGCATGATCCAAACTGCGGTCTCGTCAACCCACATCGATATATTGTGCTTCTAACATACTATACATTACCCCGAGACGGGATTAACTGAAGGATATATCTCTAAATCCCGACATAAATGTTTCAATTGGAACAAAAACATAAAGAAAATTTGTTAAATAATCTGAATCCTGCCCTAAACACAGCGTAATTAGGTCGAATACAAATTAATAACATTGATAGTAAAATATGAATACACCAATTTATAATTCAGTAATATTGAGCGGAGCAGTGTGACGTCACACTACACGTCTAACGCCCGAATACAGAAAGGCTACCCAATTTTAAATTGTATTTAAATATCGTGCCATCTCTGTCATTTTACAAAGAATTTGTAATGACAGAACTATATTTAAGCGCGACTTAAAATTGGGTAGCGTTTGAGTATTTCAGCATAAAGGTACATAGTAATAACTACAATATAAGTTCCTCGCTAAGGACAATATACATATAATATCTTCAAATAAATGTTTCATCTTGCGTACGTAAATAAATTTTATTGCTAAGGTACATTTCAGAGAGTAGCTACAGTCAACAACAAAAATAACAAATGTGGCGCTGACTGTATGACTTAACAAGTAAGTGCTAGTAAATAAAGAGAAACATGTAAGATGTGAGTATGACATTTGAATAAAGTTTACAATTTTGGACATTACCCATATCTGTTAGACAACATTACGTTGAAAGAAAAATATTATGGCGAACTTATTCCGTAACAATAACATCATAAACACATGGCCATTAGCGTTCCAGTAACATACGCGAAATACGAAATAAGTCCTTCAATGAAAACTAAATGGTAGCACCATACATAATTCCTTAGTCCGAAATCAAACTTGTTTAGACCGTAATACGACTATTGTGTACATCTAGCTATGGCCGACTGTTGTAACCTAAATATAACTGAAAATCTATAAGTGAGGCAACACTATTATTTATATATGCTGGTAACACAGGAGAAATTGTTCACAGATAACAAATACTTTTTTTCACTGGCAATTTCAGTCTCTTGCGTGATAAGGCGTGAACTACAGGCGTGACACAGGTTTCGGATAGTAGTGGTTAGGCGGACTTGTGTCGGGATCGACCGTGCAAGTTCGATCCAGTTCGAGCCTTAGATCGCACGTAACAAGTCAACGTATTGTCGACATAATACCTTCACATAGAGTAGAGTTTAGCGTGCACGAGTACATCAATGTAATGTTAGATATTTATATAATGTATCTGGAGATGTAGGTACATATAATATCATATGATAGCTCATATATATGAGCCGACAATGATGACCCTGCAACATTCATAATATCAAAGTTAACAGTTAATTCTGATTTCCTTTATTTCTGGAGGAGATAAAAACAAGCTGGTGATTAATTGTCAGTATATTTGCAGAGTCACCATCGTCCAACTAAATAATATCTCGAGCCTCTTCCCAATTTATCTATTAAATAATTATGTATAAATACTAAAACTAACCTAATAAGTTAGTACTAAAATGTTATAATCATCTTATTACAATTTAGAAATATAACGTTCATTTTGAGCAGTTGCAATTCAAACGGTGGATTAACTTGAAAACATAAAAAATAATTTTATACTCCTAGTTCAGGAATTAAATAAACCAGATACTTATTATAAGTGATTTTGAATACACAGATTCTTCAACAAACCGTTGTAAATTGCAACTGGCAACACATCAATATATCTATAACCTATATTCATAATTTCGATAAAAAAAACAAAATAACATCGACCTATTCCGATTTACAAATAAATGCTGCTGAGGCTGTATCACTACGATTTAAAACAATATCCGATTATCGATTACTTACAAGTTACAATATCGATACTAGTGTGGGGACGAATATGATATCGATATAAATGAAATCGCTTAGTATCAGTAGAATCGATATGTGTGAGAATATTGTCAGTGTAGTGGCATTAGGCCATTAGGTGAAACAGGTACAGCGCTTATAAAGCAGGAGTGAAACGATACTCGTATAGAAACACAAGGTATTGAGATTATTAATTGGTTACACACTACATTATTTGTTTGTTTATGTACCACAGTGATACGTACATAATTTAATATCCTATAATATCAATCTGAGTTCAACTATTACTTTAAAAGGCTATTTAATATCAATATTATTATTACAGCATAAAAACTGATTTTACTTTTACTCTAAAATACGTTTTGTGTCATTTACATTGTGATTATTTTGCAACGACAGCACATCGAACTGAATAACTTACTTGTATATCAAGGAAAATAATCACAACGCACAGAATACAGAAGTGAGACAAAATTAGTTCCCTACACATTCCAATCCCTTCAATCACAACAAAATATAATTTAATTTCAAACTTACAATAATAATTTCTTTCAATAAGAATATTGAATCACTAACAACATTATAATTTTGCTGGATTAACTCGTGTGCAAAATCTAACATTTATATAGTACAATAAACGTATACGCTACATTAGTACGTACGTATGTACCGAAGACTATTGAAAGCAGCTTTAAGAAATACGTAATGTTTGCGAACTTACTTCAACGTACCGAGGCAGCATCATTGATATGAGAGGCAGAAACAAAACATGAAAACTACCAGAACATACGTAAAACGGGATGATTACAACTATTCTATTCCCTAACGGTCAATTTGAATTTTCGAATTGAGCTCGACCGCATTCTCGCTTGTTATTGGTCGAGATTATTCTCACAACATGGCGGACCGCAATCGAGTTCACTGCTATCTTTCGAATTGAAAGTTGCAAAATAGTCTAACAGGAGAAGGACATCTGAAAATGATTCTAATATATCTATTCACGCTTCTTCAGTATCTATTCACCCCATCTTACCGCTATTTTATTTATAGACAAAATATTGCCTCTTGCAACCTCGGTTAGTTCAAGCATACCAATACTAATTTGAATACAAAATTAACATCTAGCATCCCGATTAAAATATTCAAAATAAACAATATTAGAATATCATAATAATTGAGTAAGTATATAAAGAAACTTTTACATCACATTAGATGGCAGTCGCTTTATGTAATGGCAGATTTAATACTTGAGTTCAGACGTTATGTATTATGATATATTTTATGCTCACAAGTTTACAGCTACTCCATATAATTGGTCAAGTTTATCCTTAACGTCAACAACTCAATTTGGGGCCACTAACAATAATTTATATATCAATAAAATCTTGGGAAACCTTTGCTAGCATTTGGTTCTGCTAAAAAAACAAGGACGGCGAAATAAAGTTAACAAATAAAAATAAGAAAAATAAAATCAGGTAAATTAGCTTCCTACTAAATAAAAAAAATCTATTCGTTAAAATATAAATAAAGAAATTTTATAAATAAAAGTAGACCGGACATCCCACGAAGTTTCACTCTCTTTGAATGCGGAGTGACTTTAACATATAGTATATGATCTAACGCTATATTAGTGCCGCGACCAACTCTATAAGGTGGGATGTCACTGTTATTTACTCAATAAATAAATGAGATGTTGCGTGGTCGCCAATTTAAAGCATTGTGTGAGCATGAACATTGTACAGCACATAATATATGCAGCAACTTCTCAGTCACAGAACCTTATGTATTAATTGTTTACTGGTAATCTTGTGCAATTTAAAAGAAACAAAATATTCTCTATTATCTAATTTCCCTTGATACTTGCTATAGTAAAAATCTGGTCGTGTCAGCGTATCGTCAACCATCATACAGCCTTAACGTATTGTTCTCACTCCGATATACATATACAATATAATATATAAACCACTACAATTGGGGCTTTTTATATAAATATAAACAATTCTATAAGAATCTTGTACAAATTATAAAGTCTTGGAGATCGTTCGTACAACATGTAGCAGTATGTTGAGAAAATTAAATATGTTGTGGACTTGTCGTATACTGGATAGCAAACAAATGCGTTTATATACTACATGTTGTACGTACGGTCAAAGTGACGACATGTTGAACGCATCGCGGCGACACCCAATAGAAGCGTTTTACAAGAAATGATCTACGCGCAGTACTATGACGAGCGCACAATATACATATGTTTTAGAACTCTATATGGGCTCTAGTCTGTACAATAATGCATTCATACTTTTCTGGATACCTACATGTCGTATAAATCGACAATATTGGGACTGGGAGAGTAAGTAACTGGTGGTTGGAGTGATGTCAGCTGCTTTCTCAGTACTTTAAATATCCATTATTGTACAGACTGCGGGCTAGTGCCGTACAAATCGGTTACAAGTATAACCTACACGTGTTACGTTACTTTAGAATTAATTTATTACGTGGATTATGTTGCTCTGTACCTTCACTGAAGCGTCTTTGTGCTATTTTGCTCAATTGTTTTCACTGGGCGATTTTATGGCTTGGAGGCTTGCCAAGATACTTGGTTTATGAGCGAAATCTTTAGAAATTAAAGTGTTTATTACAGTAAAATTTTAACACCCATGTCACCTTGGTGAATGTTACCATAATGTTAATAATTTTGCGTTTGTCAATTGTTATTTGAACGCAGGTGTAATGTTATATCAGCATACTAGATTATAAGATGGACATAGCGTAGGGCGCCATCGCTTGTGCTGTCTACGATTCATCACACACAAAGCGCATACATGTCTGGCTAAACTACAAACTATAAAATAAATAGACGAATATCAATAATATAGGAATATACTATAAGTAGCGCAGGTGTCACGCTCACAAACTAAGGTAAAACATAGAGAATCTCTTCTTTTTCTATACATTGTCGCCTCGTACGACCGTGCGATGTGCCTGCTCGTCGCCATCCAAATAATACGGACTTTGTCTATGAAATTGCCGCTCAGGCGAAACTATTTCAAAACATTTTCTTTTTGCTAAGAATTCCGATTTTAAATTACGTGATTATATTTGAATTGTTTAATGTAGTGTTCTGTTTCCATTGGGTTAATTAATGAAAAAGTTGGCAATTTCATAGCTAAAGCTCCAAAAATATTAAAAAAAAAGTTTTAAAAATAAATGCAAAGTACCACAAAGACGCGGAGAGTGTGGGTGAGAGGTGTGTGCGCGGGCGACTAGCTCGGCGGCTGCGGGTCGGTGCTGACTATGACCTGCACGACGTACCCGGGCGTGATCTTTGCTTCTTCCACCAGCAGTCGGTCGCCGAGGAGTTTGCCGCCGTAGAACCAGCGTTGGCGCCACGGCTCGATGTTCTCTTGAGCCTGGAGATTGATTGAAATACCTAATTAATTTATTTATTCATTGTTATGTATGAATTCGAAAACGTTTACTGGCAACATATAAAGTACCCTTATAATTCTTTGGACCAAATGGCTGACTGGACTGACTTACTGGCTACTGAGTAGTCATTTTATTTATGGGGTTAATGACAAGTGCGACTGCCGGGCAAGGGTCTCGGGTTCGATTCCCGGGTCGGGCAAAGGATTACTGGGTTTTTAAAAAATTCTTAGTAGTAGCACGGAGTCTGGGTGCCCGGTATATGGCAATAGGCTCACCCCCTATTACATGGGACTCATAACATAAATAGTGAAAAGTGGGTGTTACATTGTACAGTTGTATAATGTGCACCTCTGCCTACCCCTTCGGGGATAAAAGGCGTGATGTTATGTATGTTGTTATTTTAATGACTAATCACTAGTCAGTCAGTCAATTAGTCCAGTATGGAAACCGTTTTTACAATAGTTAATTTCTCTCATAGAAAAATGGATGAAACATTTTCTATATTTCAACAGTTACAAAAATTATGCATAGTCCGCAAATATAGACGCCCTAAATATAATAAAACTACAGTAATTTATACCAGTCATATTTACAGTACAGTTCACACAAATAAAAAGGTTTAATGCGTAGTAAGGGCAGACAATTTTGGTATATTTTGTATACAAATAACGTCGCCTACAAGCCTACATAATGAACCTGAATGATTGATTGTCCAGCAATTTGTTACTGACATATTTGGTCTTTGATCGACAATCATTACTGTAGCCGGCGTTATGAGGCATTATTTATTTTTGTAAGAGGGTACATACCCACTTATTACGTTTTGTATAGTCTTTTATGTGTCACATATACAAATAATTATCTCAAATCATTGAAAAGAAAAGGGTATAATTCGAGTTAGGGTAATACCTTTGACGCGGGGGCTTATAATACCTATGATCAGGCACATTAACAACATGATGGTGACTAGATAACTGTGTGAGGATCGTATTAGGTGGCGATCAGTAATTTTAGTTTACGCCTTAACGTTTGTATGTGTACCTAATTAATTACTTTGGAAATGCCTAATGAGTACCTAAAATCAAATGGTAAATATATTGTTAACACGTTAACCACCACGTAGGTCACCGGTGACCTACATTAGCGGATTTGCCTTCAACAATTTTCTGATGGCAGTCAAAGGCTTAACCGAAATAGTAATGTTAACTATAGCTAAGCCTAACTCTCTCCTAGAGAGTATGTCCATTGTTCATCAGACGGACACTTTCGTTGCCTATAAGAGCTACCTGCTACTAGTGTTATGACTCACAGCAGGAAGGAAGTCTTGGCCAGATTTCACGACACTATGTCGTGTAACAGTAAATAAAATTTTGTTTGTGGGTCTATTATGTAAGCTTTGATTAGCGCACAAAGAGAAAGCTTAGCTTAGTCTAAATAATGGCCGGCACGAGGATAGACATTACGACAACTGCCGACATTAAGTTGTGGAGTTTTAATCAATATTTAGGTGACGTTTTATAGGGGAAAGTTAATAGGTGCCTTCTACATAGTAAGTACATAGCTTAATCTACCCGTATAAAACCTTGTGAAAGAGTCGGAAAGCTAGCCAAATAAGTAAAATGACCTTGGCCGTCAGCCAAGTAATATTAACAAAATAAATGGTCAAAAGCGCCTATTATACACCACCACGTGCTTTACTGCCGTACAAAGAGAAAGCACAATGCATTTAAACAATATTCCTAGCCACAGTAGCGATACTGTTAGTAGGTCAACGCACAGTAATTGTAGCGGCGTCCAAAATTGTAAGACATTAAACAGGTGACTGCGACCTTTGTCAGTGCTTGCAAAGGCTTGAACATCAGGGTTGCACTACTGACATCTTAACAACTATATAGTTTCAAGTATTTGCCGTCGCATATTCAAAAAGGCACTTTAAATAGTATGAAATATAGACTCAAATAAGTTGCTTTAGTTCAAGGTCGCCATAAAATATATCTATGCATTTATCAGACCAGGAAATGTAGATATCGGTCCACGATTAATATAAGGTAATTAACAAATCAATAAACCGTACTCCTGTAATTATCTTTCATTTTAAATACTTGATATTTTTACGTAATGTACAAATACTAAAAATACGAATAACATGAATGTCTTATGTAAAAGTTTTTTAGGATGTTGAATACATTTTCAGTACTGTTACACGCAGATTTGAATGGAACTTGGCACAGACATAATTATACTTGGGAATATTAGAATATTACTAAAGTAGGCATTTTTTTATTCTAGTAGCATAATTATGAAGTCGCCAGCAGAAGTTAATACTTGGTGGTGGGGTATCGAATATCTAAATCTGTAATAGGCGTTAAGCCTATTGCCATAAACCGGGCACATTTCCAGTCTCCGTGCTAGTACTGAGATTTAAAAAAACCCATTAATTCTTTACCCGACCCGGGAATCGAATCCATTGCCCGGCAGTCGCACTTGCGACCGCTCAGCCAACGAGGCAGTCAGGCAGCTTATACAGACTGATATAGATTTTCTTTTTCACACCATTATATCCATGATTGGCAGCCCTGTTGTTTTAAAGTACATAGCGGCATGCGAAGGCACGCCAACAGCGTATGGTTGCAAAATTTCGCAGGGTTTGCAAACTCTTACGTCATCAATGACCGTGTTTAAAGCGGCCCACAATGCACAAGCACAATACGTGTATTTTTAATACTTTATACGCTATATTATATGTCATGTCACCGGTTAATTGAAATGGATAATCTTACACTTTTAAGGAGTTTAGGTTATTGGGTGTCTACTAAATAGTGTTCGAGAGTTTTCTGCTATTTAAAATAATTTTTATGTTCTGCAATGAAGAACAGGTCAGTTCAAATAACGTATGTCACTCAATGAAGTGACAAAGAACTTTGTATTGCAATTCCTAAGAATATATTTACGATTTTAAAACGGCGTCATAAACCTCGAAATCCTCACTGTATAAGGAGTAAAGACTGTAAATGTCAGTTGCCACAAACTTGCGGTTAACTGTTGTTAAACCGGAGTTTATTTTGTCAAGAGAAGAAAAGGTCAAGTTTACAAAACATTAAAACTGCATTTTAAGTAATAAAAAACCAAAACGAAGGCAATACAGTTGTTTTGGCACACGATGACTTCATTATTATTATTAGATTTAGTTTATAAAAAAATTTGCATTAACATACTTCTGGACTTAAGCTGTTATCATTTTGTACAAATTGTAGTTCTATTATCAGGCTTTGATTTAATGCTTATAAGCGCCTGTACAAAAAAATGTTTACATTTTGATTTAAGGAGGCCCAATTTCAACAGCAACGTTTTGATGTCCTAAGCAAAGGTAGAGGGTATTGAACTCAACTTTTTGATCATGCATAGAGTAGATGCAAGTTTGTGCAACAAAACTTACAAACCATATAATTCTTCTCTTGATAAAATGTGAATTGAATCTTTGCTTGCATACTCTGTATAATTTCCCGCACCTAAAGAATTGTGTTTACATCTCAAACGATGCTAATAAAGTCGATCGCGTCACACATTTACAACTCAATATGGGACTATTCAATAATATTTATAAATGATTCATAAGGTCAAGTGGAGTTGCAGTTCAAATTATATTGGTTAAATATTGTTGGTGACCAATTTAGACATTTGATAGTCCTTGATTGTACTGAGTACTGTTAAATATGGCTAAGTAAATTCAAAAATGATGTCTTTGGACTACAGTCGCCTTACTGAGAGAACTGCGTATTGTATTGTCAATACAATGAGATTATACCACCATATTCAGAAGATACTTACGTAGGTATCCTGTTACTATTTAAGTTAAGAGCAGAAACTACATGACTATGTGAACTAAGTATGCTCCCATCATTGAAATACATACTTCATAAATATAGTAATTCCTCATCAAGCTATAAATATAACACTTGATGTTGTCTAAATACTCATTGAAAACATCTTCTTAACGCCCGAATACTGAAAGACAATTTTTTATATAGTAAATATCGTGCCATCTCTATCATTTTACAAAGAATTCGTAGAGACAGAACTATAATTAAGCGCGACTTAAAATTGAGTAGTCTTTCAGCATTCGGCCGTAAGAGGTGTTAACTTCATAAGCATTAACGAAGTAATAACCAATCATAATCAAGGGTAATTATGACAAGGTTGCATGGAAACATGCTCTGCAGTGTTTCGTAAAAATACAACAAACATTATAGAACTGTGTGTCAATAAATCGGGAGTTCTCACAATACTCAGGATGTGATTAATGTGTTGTGAAAACAATGAATCATAAAACGACAGTAATTTATTTCATAATCGATCTAAAATAAATGAATCGGCAAATATGCACGTAAACATTTCTTTCTACTATCCATAGTAAGGTTGCCTGGAAGAAATTGCTTATAGCGATAAGGTCGCCATTTTATATTATCGTTTTTAGATTATGTAATTTTATTGTATATTTATGTATATTATGGTGCACAATAAAGCATTTTGTTTTGTATTATAAGATTTATAACATCTGAATTATTGTTTATTTTTTCATGTATAAAGAATTTTGAATTCGTTATGAACCAGAGAAGATTTTATGGAAAAGAAAATTTTAATTAATTCTTCAGAAAAGCTTGCATCACATTCTACATCTACTCACACAAATACAGGGCATAAACGGAATGCTATGATTGTAACATCTCCCTTGAGCAGTTGATTAAAACTATTATTATAAAAAGAACATTTGATTAAGTACTCATTTGAATAATAAAAATATTTTTTATCATCACATGTCTTCGTTTTTGGGATGGTTCCCTTTACACCTTTGTTTTAAGTTAGATACAAAATCTGTTCTACTTACATGTAATTTATTTTTGCACTGTGATATAGTGTGTCGGGAGTAGACAGCCAGGTCCACGTCTTTGCAAGTGTTGGAGAGCCGCAGACGGAGAGACACCTCCGTACCACCCTCCACTGGCTCAGACCACTCTGCTGGAGAATCCCTGCCACTTGCTTCCTTCACCATATTAATGGGTGGCGACAAACAGTATATTGGAACCTAGAGGCAATGCAAAATAAGTTTTATTCACTTTTAGATATTGTTTAGTTTAATGTTGACCTTGAAAAGCTAAAGAATGAACTTGAATTTTAAATTGTTACTTGTAATATAGAATGTACATTACAGTCTACGACAATGATTATTAGATAGAATAATAATTTCAACGTATATATTGGTAAAGTAACAAGTGCTAGATATATCTTCTTATATGTAATAGAGATAGATATGAGAGAGTAGGCACAATAGTCAGGCCAGATAATTTCCCGGAGCTATACATTGCAAGTTATTGTAGTTGATATGAAAGCTGATGACCAGAACTAGATGTTTATGTACTGATATAACACATAACCAGGTCAACAGGTCACCTCTCATGCTATTTCTTCACGACACAACATTTAAACCAGTTATTTTCTTGTGCAAACATTATGAATATTTAAATAGAATAATACATTATTATTATGTGGCTACAAGGTTGTTTTAGGATAGCAAGTAAATTCCAAATCACTGTTATTGGTATAATATGCATTGTTAATCAATTGCAATTATGTTGAGTGAATTAAAATAAAAATAACATAACATAACATCACGCCTTTTTATCCCCGAAGGGGTAGGCAGAGGTGCACATTATACCACTGTACAATGTAACACCCACTTTTCACTATTTATGTTATGAGTCCCATGTAATAGGGGGTGAGCCTATTGCCATATACCGGGCACAATTCCAGACTCCGTGCTACTACTGAGAATATTTAAAAAACCCAGTAATACTTTGCCCGACCCGGGAATCGAACCCGAGACCCCTTGTCCGGTCGCACTTACGACCACTCGGCCAACGAGGCAGTAAAATAAAAATAAGTATTAAAATTATCAATAAACATTGATGTAGTGGTTAATAGCTAATTTTTACTTGCACTAAACAGTTTAGATTACATTTCCTTTTATAAATAATTATAAAAAATCAAGCCATTAAAAGTGTGATGCTTTTTCTCAGCTCCATACTTATTTATGCCATAAGTGTAATCATTATCATCAGCCTATAAGTGCCTACTGCTGAGCAAAGCCTCTTCCCACACAGAAAAGTTTGAGCATTAATCATCACACTTGCTCATTGCGGGTTGGCAATTTCAAACTTATATTTTGAAATTATAATTCCATATTTCCTCAAAATGTTTTGTAAGTGTAAGTGCCTTAGTAAGTCCAACAGGTAGTTGAACCTGCTGCATGTTTTAATAGTTACACCATTGCTTACATTGTACTTATTATACACAAATGTGAGAAGAACATGATCATGTTTGAAATGTAATCATTACCGGTACTTAGAATACTTTCCAGTGAGTCTCATTTGTTTTTAATTAGAACTATGAGCGGAAGTAACAACAAGTTATATTTTCAAAAGCATTTGGACTCTAATGATTACATATTATTAGGTTATTCTCGAACAATCATATTAAAAAATTGATAAAATCAATAAGGAAAGTCTAATGGATGTTTGATGATAGTAAAAAGGTGTCACCAATATCACCAGGTGAATCAGCAATATTGTAAAAATCCTTTAAAATGTGTGGAACAGTGGGGATTCTTTACAATGTATTAAGATTAATGGTTAATCCATTACAGACTAAGGAGCTTGAAGATCAAGAAAATCCATCGTAGTGAAAAGTTTTAACAAAATGTGTACCTGATATCTTGTGCCCCATTCATCATAGCACTCAGTGAGGTAGCCATTGGGCACTGAAACACTGGCGCCGTCAAGTATTGCCTGTGCGAGCTGGAAGTCCATCGCCTCTGCAGCAACGGCGGCCGCCCGGAGCGCGTCCCAAATCTCCTTGCGTCCTTCGAACGCCGGCGCTGTGTCCCAAAACTCATCTCTTTTGCTACGTAACTGTCCTTCTGTCAATGGCACATCCGATTTCCATCTTATGGTCTCGTGGCACAACGACTGATTCTTCCTCAGCCCGCCTACAACAAAGAGTTATAAGAACACGCACTCGACGTCTCCACGGAGACAGATGATCGCTTACCCCACCTGAATTAGGCCGAGACACAGTAGCTGAAGACTCCTCTATAGGCCCGCTACCACTTCTAGTTATTCCTATGCAGCCTCCCATAATGATCACATTCTACAATTGCTCATTTAACAAATATTTACAAAAAAATTATTAACAAATAACATTTTTATCTTCTGTACGCTTCTGTCAAAAAAGATTAGCTGTATATGTTTTATTATTGCTTCAAAAGGTCGCGTGTGATTTATACACGTTCGTAACAAAACTACAAAATTTATTTAAATTACATTTCAGTATGTCTTATATATTACTGTGTGATACTCCATAAACAATATAAAATATAAACAGAGAACATAAATAATTCTCATTTCCGTGATTCTAAGATTGTAGCTTCTAAAATAGCTGTAAACAAAACGTTAAAAACGTACGAAATATTAGAATGTCAGCCTGCTATTTTTATAAGTGGTAATTTTTACAAGAACACGTTTAATTTTTAGGAGCGCAAAACACATTTAATGACTAAATTATATTTTGTTTCAATACATTTCGTGGCTGAAAAATACTTATTTGAATCTATAAAAATTGAATTTAATCAAAATTCTACATTATATACATTGAAATAATAAACTCGACATTATGTAAGGAGAAACAACACGTACTGAGAAGTATTGCATTTACATCATCTGTCAAGTCTCAAATCTGTCAAATCTGTCAATCTAATGTTTACATTTTTGTAAAAGTGAATTTTGTTTTATTAAAGAAGAAGCTTGAAAGCAGCGAAAAACAAACAAAAACCTGATATTTAAAGAATACAAGAACTTTATGTTGCTTGACAATGAATTCACTTCCTTGTAATATAGAAGACTACAGAGTTATTACGGTAAGTGTACTGTAATACTCCAATTTAGCAACACAAATTTTCTAGTTTATAATATAATATAATTTGTGTGATTATAATATAATTTGTCGCCAGGCTCCAGAGACTGCGTATTACATCTCCGATTTTATATCAGAAGCTGAAGAGAAGGCAATTTTATCAAGTATTTACGCGGCACCGAAGCCAAAATGGACACAACTTTCAAACAGACGACTACAGAACTGGGGCGGAATACCTCACACTAATGGCATGATAGCGGAGGCAATACCGCCTTGGCTGGATAAATACCTAGACAAAATTCATAAGCTGGATGTCATGGATGGGAAAAGACCTAACCATGTGTTAGTAAATGAGTATCTGCCAGGACAGGGTATCATGCCACATGTGGACGGATCTTTATTCTATCCTACTATCACAACAATATCGGCAGGATCCCACATTGTATTAAATTTCCTTGAACCAACTGAAGATAACACTATAAATACAAGTCCACTGTTCTCATTTTTACTAGAACCAAGAAGTTTGTTAATTCTGCAGGACAAGCTGTACACACACTACTTGCATTGTATTGAGGAACTGAAGGAAGATTTGTTGGATGGGTCTATAGTCAATATAAACATGTGTTCAGACAAATATGTTAGACATGCAACAGTAACTAGAGACACTAGGGTATCGCTGACTATAAGACATGTGCCAAAAACAAGCTCTTTTAAAATTCATCTTGGCAATAGAAGATAGATGTATAATATTCGGACTGAGTTGAAAATTATTGCGACATTTCTAGCAAGTAATGCTACAGTACTGACTGAATTTATTAAATGTTTATTCATACACTGGACTGTGTATGTATGAACACAATTTTTATCATGTAAATATTTATGGTTCTTGATCACATTATTATAATAAAACTATAAGTGTGCTTCAACAGTTGTTGTTGACAAACACAGTGGTTAGAAATCCTTTGGTATTACTGGCAGGCTCAAATATTTTTTTTTTGTTCTATTTTGTTATTCTTATTGTACACTTATCTGTAGCTATTATGTAAACATAATTATGAAGTAACAAAATTCCACATTCAAACATTATTTTTATACACAAATCTAGTTGGTTCATATTTTTATAGAAATAAATTAATTAAAGTATGTTTTTACAAAAATAGATTTTTAATTTTATTTTACAAAATGAGAATTACTAAATTATTTTCGAGTGCTAAGTTAATAGAGAGAAGTACAAATTGTTGTAGGGTTGTTCGAAATTATTGTAGTTCAAAGGATACAAGTGGCACCAAAGAAGGAAAAACTGATTCTAACAAGGTTAGTAATTAATAAAATACAGAATCATTATATCTTAGATAAATACTGTTGATCTACTAATGAATATGATTCACAGAAAGGTCTAGTGGTGGGTGTATATAAAACAAAGAACAAATTTGAACTAACACCAATTGCACAAGAAATCAACCAAAAGAGTGGAGACAAGTTGACTGAGCATTTGAACAGTGAGTGAGATGAATATTAAATTATTAAAACTATAGTACACAATTTATTTTAGAAACTTTTTCTAACTAAAATTTCTCTAAGTTTCAGTAACACTTGTGTTTATTGTCCCATGCTGGATATAATTTCAGACTCTGTTCTTCTAAAAAACAATACTGCTTTATCCAAACCAGGTTCTAAACTGATATTGCAGACTGCTTCAACATGACCAATGACACAGTAAAATAAATACTTGAGAATTTATTCAATACTAGCTACATCCGCGCGGTTTCACACGCTCTGCTCAGCTCTATTGGTCGTAGCGTGATGTTTTATAGCCTATAGCCATCCTCGATAAATGCGCTATCCAACACGAAAGATTTATTCAAATCAGACTTGTAGTTACGGAGATTAGAGCGTTCAAACAAACAAATAAAAAAACAAACTTCCGTTTTATATAATAGAATAACATTTTCTGATCCTTGAATATATATACCTAGTATAATTTATGTGTGTGAGTTCCAATAGTCGATGCCTGATGGCTAATGTTACAGATTGTGTGGAGAGCTGCGGTTGGGCAAGGCGTTTACACTGACAGATGTGGTGCCAGAATATTCCGCCATAGCAATCACCTGCTTTGGACCTAAGGATGCTGGCTACAATGCTCTTGAATCACTGGATGAGGCTAGGGTGAGTAATGACATCATAATATCTTCATTAAGTATATTTTAAATAACCTACATCATAACAACACCTTATTCTTTGTATTGTAACTTTCGTGACACATACTAAATAAATTATTATGTTCTCGGCTTACTCACGTAATAATTTGAGGAGGAACTCGACTAGTTTCAAGCCATGCTAGAGGTTCATATTCATGAGCAGTATTTCGCGATCCGCAACGCGGCGACTGTCGCGCGACATATTACGTGAGTAAGCCGAATTCCCTGCTAAATTAAGCTAATAAGGTATGTATATAATAAATAAAGAATATGAAGGTACACCGACGTAGCAAGGCCCTCGGCTTTAAGTACCATGTCGTAATACTGTCGTTGGCTTAATTACTATTACACTTCAAACTACTTATTGCAGATATTTCTTAAACTAAATGATGATCTGCCCCTTCCACTTGATCAAACCAGGCATTGTAAGTTAACCAAGCTGCTACTTATAGGAGAACATTCGTTGGGGCGTGGGTGCGGGCGTGAAGTTGTTGAAGGCGCGCGGCTGCGGCCTCATCGAGGTGGATCCCGCCAACGCACCTGACGCGGCTGCCGAGGGCGCCATGCTAGCAGCATGGAGGTATAAATACATACTTATACCTGCCAGAATGATTGAGAAAGAGTAGGTACGCGACTATGGGTGCCGTTAACTTCTAATACCACTCTGTCAAGAGCATGAAACACCTAAGATGAGATATCATCAGTTAGTAGCAAAACATTAATGATCCTAAAAAAGTACTAAAATATCGTCATCTATAGGTTCCAAAAGTTCAAGACGAAAGACTCCCGTAAGACTAAGTGCCACGTAAAGTTGTATGGCAACGAGGGCAAAGAGCTGTGGACGCTGGGCGCTATATACGGGGAGGCACAGAACTGGGCGCGGTACCTGTCTGACATGCCCGCCAATAAGATGACGCCTGTCGACTTAGCACAGGTACCTACTATTTTTTTAAATATTTCTTATTGAATATTGTTTAAACTATTCTTGTTCACTATTCCACACTTCATGTCCACAAAGTACACTATTGTGATCCGAAAATCGAATCTGAGATTTTGTGTCAACTTGTTTAATTTACTCAATTAATGTCGTCTGATAAATAAAGATCGCCCTCATAGTCATACCCTGCCTGTCGGTAATAAAATTTCATGTTTTCAACTTATACTTACTTTTATTTTATAACTTCTTCAAGTAAGACTTCTATCAGACCTCTGTATAGTAACTAGGTACTAGTGGACTTATTTCATCTGATAATGAAAATTGTGTTTAGTTGTTTGAGAGCTCTTGGTTGAGCAAGCTATACATTTTCCAGCTGACGAAATGAATGAGAAATATGTTTCCAGGCGGCCATCGACGTCCTGTGTCCGCTGGGAGTGAGCGTGGAGGCGCACGACCGCGAGTGGATCAAGGCGCAGCGCATGCAGGCCTTCCTGGCCGTCGCGCGCGGCTCGTGCGACACGCCCATGTTCCTCGAGTGTATCTACCGGCCCGGCGCCGTCACCGCCGCGCCCGTACTACTCGCGGCTAAAGGAGTCACCTTCGACAGGTATTATAATTGTACTACTACTTGCTTCTTCTGCTTTTCCCCCGTTCTCCTAAGATTTACGGGAAATCCTGGGATAAAAGTATCCTATGTTCGTTTCCTGGTTAGCGAAACAGGATTAAAAATCTCAGTTGCGCCTAAAATCTTTACTTAATTTAATTTATAAGCTCGAGCTTTAAAACTAATTAGGTATGTAACATTGTTTACAGCGGTGGCCTGTGTTTGAAGGACTGCAATATGATGCTGGACAACCGCGGCAGTATGGCCGGCGCCGCCGTCGTACTCGCCGCTATCAAGATTATCGCTAAACTTAAGGTTATTATACCATAGTACCTTTAAAACTAAACATTATAAATTGGATCTTAGAAATAATGTAGTTACAAGTAATTGCATTTAATAGTATTTATTATTTATCCTCGTGCCTCGTGAGTTGACTGCCTCGTTGGCCGAGTGATCGCAAGTGCGACTGCCGGGTAATGGGTCTCGGGTTGGATTCCCGGGTCGGGCAAAGTATTACTGGGTTTTTAAAAATTCTTGTAGTAGCACGGAGTCTGGAATTGTGCCCGATATATGGCAATAGGCTCACCCCCTATTGCATGGGACTCATAACATAAATAGTGAAAAGTGGGTGTTACATTGTACAGTGATATAATGTGCACCTCTGCCTAGCCCTTCGGGGATAAAAGGCGTGATGTTTTGTTTTTTTTTATGTTTGTATTTATTTATGTGATTATATTGACAGTCTGCAGTACTAGATTCAGTGCCATAGGTAACACTCGGGAAGGTAAGCAGCTGGGTAAAAAAAGAATGAATTTGCTGGAGACCCAATAGGGTTGTCTGCAGTGTAAAATGAAAAAAAAATCATTTGTATTTCAGTTGCCGATAAATGTGTCGGCAGTGATCCCCATCTGTGAGAACATGGTGAGCGGTCAGTGCATGAAGGTGGGAGATGTCGTCAAGGCGCTCAACGGACTATCCATTGAGGTGTGAGAACTTTACAATTTTATTGTCTATATCTTTGTCAGGATAGTTTTATGAGCATAACGTTAGTACCCTAAAAATATAACTCACTTTGCGCAATTGTATGTTTGTTTGTTTTGCTAAATAACCGCCCCAACACGGTAGTTGACAACTAATCAAATTCAATACTTTTATCGGAACGTCGAAATCGACACCGACCTATGAATTTTGTACTGAAATACCAACTTATGACGTCATCATATTTTCACGTCAAATAGCCCACTTATTTAAAAAAAAAATTGATACAATAAATCGAAAATTAAGTATATAGGCGAATCAATGAACAGAATTGTAATTAGTTTTCAATATTTAATTGGACTGAAAAATCAAAATAATTTATTTTTGACCCTGGAAACTACCACCCAACTGTACAGTCGCGAGCATCTTTGATCACTTTTATATGGATAGCACCATCTAGTGACGAGAGGACAAACTATTTCAGATCTTTTACATAAAACTAGAATAAATAAATAATATTCTACTTTCAGATAGAAAACACGGACATGGAAGGCCGGTTGATGATGGCGGACGCGCTGGTATATGGCCAGTCGCTGTTCAAACCCGCAATGGTCATTGATGTTGCTACTTTCACCCGTATGTATAAAAATAACTAGTTTTACTGCTCGACTCCTATTGATCCTGATGTTTTATAGCCTCTATCGAGATAAATGACTAACAGAAAAAACAATCAATGACATCCAGCAGTTTCGAAGATTAGCGCGTAGTAGTTGGTATAGACAGATACGCTCGTTTTTGAACATAGTCAGGCCATGTGAATGATAGTTGCATATAATTGAGCTTAATTGTTGTCACCATCACTTTATAATGTAAGGTTTATTTATATAACCTCGATAGCTGACGTAAATAATATGAAATAATAGTTAGTCAAGCGCGGGTGATGCTTTAGTCTAATTATGATATGTAGTTATAATCTATTTTGCTATATTATTCTTATGAGGAACGCACATAGCATCACGCCTATTACCCTCGAAGGGGTTGGCAGAGGTGCACATTACGGCACTGTACAAAGTAACCCCCACTTTTCACTATTTAATTTATGAGTCCCATGTAATAGGGGGTGAGCCTATTGCCATATATCGGGCACACTTCCAGACTCCGTGCTACTACTGAGTTTTGTTAACCTTTTCGCCGCCAACAACTTCTATAGAAGTTCAGGATTTTCGTGCCGTCCACGCCACTACTTCTATAGAAGTTCATTGTATCTACCTACTATAAAAAATACATTTACGATACATAAAACATTTGTTTCTTTGTAATTTTGTAATATGGACACGACGAACTATTTTTTCTCATGCAAAACAGCCTATTTTCTGTTTTAAAAAGGTAAAACATAAAAGGTTTCAAATAATTTTATATCCCGCACGCCAACGACTTCATATCAAGTAGGCCAGTGATGTGACGCGTAAGGAGCATTCATTCATTAGAATCTTTATTTACTATAATATTTGTTTTCTTTTCCATCCAATAGTTTTTTGAATTCTATGAATAAAAAGAAATTCCGGTCAGTAAATAACGTATTACAATGCGTTTCAAAATTAATGTACATCTACCTATCAAATCATTTCATTAAAATTAATTATTATGTACTGAGGGTTTTCGATATTGCTAGACCCATCTCTACGTAATGGCAAGATGTCGAGTGACACTAGCGCCGTCAACTTCAATAGAAGTAAACCTGTGACGTCGTAAGCGCTTAGGCGTCAAGGTCATTGTGTCATAGTTCCGGGCGACGCGTGCACGCACATTTTTCTTTCCCAGTGCAGTGCAAAATGACGAATATGATTCGGATGAGTTGTTGCGGCTGTTACAAGGTGTGGAACCTGATTCCGACTAAAAAATTTGTGATCGACTCAGGTCTATATTTGTTCGCCGACACAGCTAAAAGTTTGCGAAACCGAGAGCCGCAACGAATAGGTATTTTATGACTACCTAATATCCATCAAACGTGCCAGTTTTTCATTTGCATTAAATGAAAAATAAGCTATTAAAGTTTAGTACATCTGTATTAAAATAGTTACTTACCATCCATTTCCAAAACTACACATATGTTGCCACTTTTAATCACTACAAACAATGTTCCTGATCGTGACCTGACGTTAGATTTTAAATGTAAACTAAAACCAAAAGCAAACCAAACTCGATAGAAAGAAAGAAAAGCATAGACAACTATTCCTTACGAAATATATCGTGCTTTGAACGCCAATGACTTGATATGAAGTAAACAGACTACGTTATGAAATGAATAGTGAAGTGGCTAATGTTACGAATTATTATTATTATCTCTAGCAACTCTATGCATGTATCTTCATCTCTGATAACGGATACCCATTTTTCTTAGTATAAATGTTTATAAAATAAAACAAATTACCATTATAACTTAACAGTTTGTATTTTTAATTGTAAATTTGAGTACCAATTTAAATTTACACATATTTTTTTTCATTATCGACATGATGTTACCGCCATCCCTACTTTCGTACTATACATTTATTATACATTTATACGTTGGCGTACGGCGACACATCGTGTTTAGTATAGCTGGGCGGCGAAAAGGTTAAAAAAAAACCAGTGATACTTTGCACGACCCGGGAATCGAACCCGAGACCCCTTGCCCCGGCAGTCGCACTTGCGGCCAACGAGGCAGACTTGTGAGGAAATAAACTATTATTTTGATTAAATGTGTGAATGTGCAGACGGTGTCCTGATGGCGACGGGTGGCGGCGCGTTCGGTTGCTTCAGTAACTCGGAGTCAGCCTGGCGCGCCGTGCAGGCCGCCGGCGTCGTCACCGGGGACAGACCATGGCGGTTCCCGCTGTGGAAGTACTTCCACAAACAGATCACCAGTTAGTCGCCTATACTCTAATATTCGCCACTTACCTATCTTTGTATTCTAATATAGTAGTTATCTTCTAGCTTCCACTAACTCATAAAATGTGTCTATTTGTAATATTAAAACCCCTTTTTTACTACATGCATATACATATGATACACATACCAAAATATTTTTTTTTACAATTTTTGTTTATGTCTGTTTGTGCTGGGTAATCTCTGGAATGGCTGGACCAATTTCGCAACTTATTGGCAAGTAGCTGATGTACAAGGAGTAACATAGGCTACTTTTATTTTGGAAAATTGCCTACTATAATAGGTACTAATTCTGTAACAGATGACCCTGCAGTGGATTTGAGGAATAAGGGATCTGGACATGGCACCCCATGTCTTGGAGCTGCTTTTCTAAAGGTGAGAACATTTATGATAGGTATTGAAAGGATAGGTAAAAATCATCATGTGTCAAACTGTATGCACGTAATTTTTGTGAAGTACCTAGCTTCATTAGTACCCATTCCAAAACACAGAATGGGTGTAGCGTTTTAAAAGCATGATAGATGGCTTATGTCGTTTTTAATTATTGTTAGTCATTTGGAAATAGCCCTAACTGCTGTACTGTCATTAAGGTTTTTAACCCGGTTCTTAGCAAATGTCTTCGAAACAATATCGTTACTAAGTAAGGATTTATGTTTTTGGGATACCAGTATGTGTATGATTGCAGAACTTCGTGTGCTGCGACTGGGTGCACATGGACATCACGGGCGTGGGCAAGGTGACGGAGTGGGGCGCCGTGCCCTACCTGCAGGCGCGCCGCATGTCGGGCCGCCCCGCGCGCACGCTGGCCGCGCTGCTGCACCACGTCGCCGCCGCCAGCGCCAACGACAAGGACAAGAACAAGAAACAAGAACCCACTCCGTGCGCCGCGAAGTCCTAAATTATCCTTTACTTTCGGCTAATATGTTTAGAACTGTTGTGGTTCGGTCACATTGAAACCCCATAAAACACTTGATATAAACGAGTCTACTAGTGATGTCTTGTCCAGTAAAGTTTGTAAGAAACGTTCAATAAACTTATCTCAAGCGCATCGTCTCGTTTTAAAACTTAATTTAAAGGACTTTTACTTCAAACATACAACATTCCATATCAATGAGATCTTTATCGTTAAAACTATACACAACATACATTGAGAAATTCGAGCAGACCACAACCAGCAGGTTAGAGCGCGTAGGCGTATCAGTAGAGTACACAAACATCGAGTGTAATCTCATTAGTCTACACAATTAATAACAGCGCATTAGGGCGAGCTCGGGTAAATATTTACGAACAACGCAAAAACTAAACACATAATCAAATCAACGGGTGCGAAATGAAACACCGATGCTTATTGACCTAAAAATGAAGAAACATTTATTTTCAGTATGTCTTTTGTAAAATTTAATAACAGAATGAATCAAATGTGGTAAGAGAATAACAGAGCGGATTACTTTCCATTTCGATAGAATTAGTTTCACCAACAATAGAAATATAATATTTATCAAGTCATTTACAGATACAATTAATGCAGTACCAATAAATCTAATTTATTCGTTTACTGAGTTAGTTAAATTTAAACATTTATTACGTTATCATAATGTACACGGAGTGGAGCGGGCGGAGGGAGCCGTCCGCCGGGTACACTATCTTTTTTTGGGATTTTTTAAATTTTTATTCCTCACGTACTTTATAAATATCTCATACTTGAAAAAAATTTACATTAAAATGTATCGGAAAGGTGCGGGACGCTAGCACCGCAGACACTAGGGCGCGACGCAAACAGAGGCACGCACGCACACATACAGGACGGCGGCCGCCCCAATATACACAAATATAAATATGAGCCGACACGAACCCGAGACTTATACCATCACATTGCGACGCACACCTATTCGTTTTCCCTTTGTACCGCTACAGTTAAAATTTTTCTTACATAGTAAAATTAACGGAATACTTTAAATCTAAATAAAAAGAGAAGGCGGAGACGACGGAGCGCGGGGAACATGCCGCCGCGCTCCGTCGTCCGCGCCCAACGTTACAAGTACATCATTAAACTGAAACGATGACAATATTTAATTTATCGCAAACACTAGAGAAATGCAGGTCCAATACGATGGTAATATTGTGTGTCATGAAACAAAATGTATATTTAAATTCTCTGCTTTTTACACACACACTAGCCGGCGGCTCACTTCGACGTCATCATGGTGACGAATTCTGCAAAAGAAACACAAACCAGCATTAGTACAGTTGCCAGGGGAACAGAGCGTGAGGTTTACAAGAAAAGTGTCACATAAACCCTTGCATAACATGTCTAAGATAAAATGTTAACACAAACATTATTAACACAACGAAAGTAACCGACAGAGATAGAGATGCACTAAAGATGTAACCGCTAGTAGACAGATACCACTAGATGTATTAACAGTAAATAAATCGAGTCAACACCAAACATATGCCTTCGTAACAGTGACAATATACAAAGCAAGGCATGTACTTGATGGAGCGACGAACAACATAAATAAACCTTACTTTTACCTCATCATGCCACTACAAGGGGATTATGTGAAATACCACCCTCTGGATATATCAACGCAAAATACATTCATGATAAAAGTAATAATAAATGATGGGCGGAAGCACTCGATTAGATACTAGTGCTGCGAACGAACATATCCCGATAGTGTCGTGCGAAGCCTATACAACGTGTTCATGATACAGTCGATCGTACGATATCGATCGCATACCCGACGTTTGCTGCTCGTTTGTTAGCCACAGTGTCGTGTGTGAGTGGGTGTGAGAGTGGTCAAGCTAGTGTCGCAGAGCTAAGCACCGCACACGGCACACGGGCAAGCAGAGGCGGGGCCTCGGACAACGGGGCGGATCACCAGGTGGTATTTCTATAGGAAAACTTCTATACAGATATTAGACACATGCACCAATCAACAGGAAAACAATATTCAACATGTCCCTGTGAAGCGGTCGCCTGTAATTTTGTCGCCTTCGTGGGACGGCGTTGACAAAATTGCAGGCGAGTCGCCACGCCAAGTGAGTAAATAGACACAATCGATAGTCAAGTGTGAGATCCCAACGAGAGAGTGAGAGGGCGAGGTAGGGCGGGACAGCTCGGGAGTGGCGGGACCAGCTAACATATCCAAGGGAAGGAACAGTTAATAACGAGCAGCAAACCATTCAGATTAACACTGGGATATACCTATTGTCGTACCGCACTCGACGTAGGCCGTTGGGCTCTTTGCATCGATCACTACACACTACTAGGGGAAATTGTTTCGAGATCACAGCGTTATCGTAGAGTCTTTTCTTATGGTTAGTTACGGTACTAATATCACAAGTGTGGCGGCGGGCCGTGCGCTAACGGCTGCCGTCGCCGCGATCGAAAATGATTTTGGCGAATGCATGGAAGTCTGCAAGAGAGAGAACGCTCGGTCGGATGATGGAATACACATTGCACATACACGGACGCGGACCAACCCTAGCTTCCCATACTTGATACATTGTATCCATGCACAACGGGACAGCAAGCTTACTCAACAAGCGATACTATCTAACTAGTGATCCAAATGCCACTCTTGTGTTCAACCAACTTCAAGTTTAAGCTTTCTAAACCAGACCGACGATACAATCGTGCGACTGCAAATCACGTCAGCGTCCAGTTAGCTTACTCTACTCGACTACAGTATCATGGTCATTGCAGGTATTTCAACTATTAGTCAAACATATCTTTAACATTTCCTGTACGCTATAAACATGACTACCAGTAACTTTTGTCGGATTTAATATTTTGTGGATAAGTTTATAAATAAAATGGACTTTTTGGAAACAAGCAAACCCAACTGTTAGTGTGAACACGTACTATGCTACATGCTGGAGTCTCGTGTACGATATTATAATACTGGGTACTATCATCACACAAGAATAAATCACATCGGTGGAACACTGATCTGTCGACAGTACATTGTTTTTGAGGATCGGTCATGCGTCAGTAGCGACTGCAAATTCTTTGGTATTATAGAAAAACTATACGGCAATAAAGTGACTAGTGAAAACATTGCATATTAAAGTACATATTTTATAGTGACGACCCAGGAACAAGTTGTATCCTCGTTCGTGGAGCGTCGTGCGGCGTGGTGCCGGTGTGGCGGTGGAGTGCAACATCCCAAAGCGAGTGAGTGCGGAGTACGTACCCTCGTAATTGACTTGTCCGTCGCCGTCGATGTCGGCCTCGCGGATCATCTCATCGACCTCCTCGTCGGTGAGCTTCTCGCCGAGGTTGGTCATGACGTGGCGCAGCTCAGCCGCCGATATGAAACCGTTGCCGTCCTTGTCGAACACGCGGAACGCTTCACGGATTTCCTCCTCACTGTCGGTGTCCTTCATTTTGCGGGCCATCATCGTCAGGAATTCGGGGAAATCTATCGTGCCGTTACCTGAAATGTGAATGTTACAAATTAGTTATGTAATCAATGTTTGGTCAGTTGTTGCAGAGTTAGGCGTGTTCTCATATCAATTTAAGCCTTAGTAAAATAATCTGCTTCAAGAAACATTAGTTAACGTGATTAAAATTAATCAACTTTTAGATGTAAACCAGAGCACACAGCCCACGTGGCGGCTGGGGAATCAAGTCATAAGGAATTCGTTCATGTTAGTTACAATAACTCAAGTAATAGCTATTTTAATCCGATATATCTATGTACAAAACCAATTTAGAATGCCAAAACGTTCAATGTTTATTTTTGAAATAAACAAGAGTTCGTTTGAAAGCAGGTGCGCCCCTACGGCTAAGTAAATTTAGATAGAACAATCAATGGAAGTTTTCACGTCAGAGTAAAGATCAAGGGGCCGCCGAATGGATTTACGATGTATAAAAGTACATAATGCATAATATAATTGTTATTAGTCGTTAATTTACGCGAGAAGTATGCGCGAGCAGCGAGCAGTCGGGCTCCAGCGTGCGGACGAGCCTTGTTTGTTTTGCTTGACGGCAAGTGTTGGCGTTTCCACGAACATGGACACTTATAAACACATAGATTTATCATCTGACTGCGCCTGTGTATTGTCTGACCTCGCACTACATGGGATCATGTGCTTGTGATACGTCATGTATTTAAAAACATTAATGAATGAGATGATCTTACAGCTAATGAATCATGCCATTAACAGCTTGGGAATATGTATAATAAAACCTCTTTTTTATTGGATACTTGATTAGACCATGTTAATATTTATTACAGCTTGTTTCTGCTTGCCATAAGTGTATCAGTTTAGTATGTAATTGTAAAAATAAACGTAAACATATATTCGATGACAACATTGGCATAGTGAACGCGACAACAGCCAAATATAACGTGGTCCACGTGATTTTGATAGCTGAACAAATATGTTACTTTATCTAATGTAAACATCATACATTATTATTTTTTATATTTAATACTTTAGGTCGTTGCTTTACTTTATCACATCTCTATTCAGAACTATCACACGTTGTGTTTGTGTGCTTATTACCTCCATTTTATTGTTAAGTAAAGATTTGCTAATTATTTATTTAAACTTAACAAAAATCAGTGACTTCGTTTCTATTCTAGGAACTGTCGTAGTATTTTGAGTCAGTTCGATTTAATGAGAATGGAACATGTTAAGTGATGACGAATCCATATTTGGATCACGCACCGAAGGTTTTTCCCTTACTTTACTTAGAATGTCTTCAATCAAAGTTCGATTGTAAATTCAATTCTATTATCTTTTTAAAGATATTATAATCCTCATATCGGTCAATTAAATTGAGATAACGTTTTATGGCACGTTGCCTTGTGTAAGCTTCTCAGAAATATTTACGTTACCTACAATAAAATATTTTAATTGCACTGACTATGTAATGATTTTCCTGCTTTTATCCGATTGTCACTATTTAACACCTTGGATGTCGTGTCGGACAACGATGCTACGCTAGCGGAGGATTACCCTTTATCGACAGTTAAAAGGCTTAATTTTGATAAACTACTATGACATATATCACCGCAGGTACCTTAAGGAACTCCAATATTGTATTGTTGAACTGTTTTGTATAATTATTCGCTAGTATTTCACGAACGAGTGAATCGAACTTTATTTATACTTCAAACTGTTATTACTATGGTAAACGCAATAAAAATAGTTTGTTACGGCAAAAGTAATTATTGCTGTTTCACACGTGGTACAAGTTGAACGAGAGACGAAACAAATGTTCCGTTTTGATCGACGTTATCAACAAACCAACGTGAATACGTAAAGTTGGATAATTTATGGTTGGATCAAGAATTTGCAGAACTACCATTAAAATATTATACAAATAACAGAATTTATTCATTACAATTTAGATCATATTTTACTGCTTGGATTTTACAATCCAAGTATCCAAGTGATTCATTGCAGACGATCAATAGGCCAATTTCCTGATAGTGATTTAACTGTGTATGTTTTAAGTTTCTTATATACAAATACTGAGTAGGTACCTGCCCTCTAGTCCGCAATTAATAAAATATTACAACTGACTTCTAAAGTCTGTATTAAATAGAACCTAGTAAAATAACCAGACCTAATTAGTACACTTGTTCTCAGCGTCGAACAATTTATAAAGCCGTAATGTGGGTTCACTACTCCATTAAATTTTTAAGACATCTAGGATAGTAATCTATTATTAGTATTCTAAATGTATCTAGATCCAGTCTAGTCTAGTTCGTAGTTCCTTCCGCGATCGAACAGCCGGCCCGATGCGTTGTAAAAATAAGTTCGGGTTAAGTTTGGCCCGTCTAATTCTGGGTTTAACCTTTCCGAGGTGGTTCGCGGACTAATAATAGATGTGCGAGCGAAACGGTGAGCTTCCGACAATGCAATACACATACTCGATACTACATCAACAGAAAGCGCACTTTGATTGCAGGCTGCTCGATTAGGGACACCACTCCAGACATATTAGTCATTGGGTAACATGGACAACAATATCTAAGCGATTTACAAGCAGATCTATCAAAGATCTTTTCTTTCAGCATTGTTTCATCACACGATGATACTGATTTTCATCCTAATATCGGTTTAGGATCTACAACGATATTCTTATTCTATACGGCTTTACCGTGTGGTTGAGGCGCACAGCGCACCTGGACCACTCTCGTTAATTGTCGGCTGTAAATCTGTCACGTCTGCTGTCTGCGTGCTTGGTATTACAATCGTTTTATAGTTCTGTTTGTTATTCTTTATGCTTCTAAATCTTAGATAATATAATGTAGGCGTCGTAATAGGCGGTAGCCACGTTTTATCAAATAAGATGAACATCATTACTCACAATGTACTGAATTTCGTCGTCCAAAATCAGATCATATTACCGTCGCGACGTTGTATATGACTTAATGAATGTTATGCAAGCTTGGAATAGTAGATTCCTAACTTGTCTGGTTCGCAGATGTGGCTTTGTTTGCGGCAAGGTAACTCAAGATAGACCATACTAGTTTGCATGTTCACAGAGCGTATTTGTTGTTCTTACTTTGTGTGCCAACGACGAGCAATAACCGGATCGAGTTTATGTAGCCGTGTGTTCAACACTACAGGAACGTTAATGCCTTTAAAATCGCTAACAGTTCGTTGGAGAGTACATCAAAACTAAGCAGTTTCGCACGTAGCAATGGCAATTAACAAGCGACTCATAAACCTGTGAGTCACCCGACGGATATAGTAACATCACCCTGCACTCGTAACAGCATCTTATCATCTTAACTCATACTTAACCTTGTCTTACTCACGTTCTATGATGTTAGATACCTCATCATTATGCATGGCGGAATGATTAATTCATGAGCTGATGTGATAAGACAAGAATTTTCCATAATATGCGACTGAGGATAAGCATGGCTATTTCCGAAATTGCCTTTCTTATTGCTTGTCTTGCAGGCTACCTGATTTGAAGGACACTACTTGTCAAACAATGCCACTATTACTCATACGCATAAAAATTAGATAGGTACCTGTTCAGAGTGTTAAAATTAGAGCGGTTATCACTAATTTGGACTTTATGTGAATGTTGTTCAAGGTCTAATTTGCAAATGAATCGACGGCCTCTTGATGTCTGCTTTATTTTTGATAGGTGCAGATTATGTAAGTATAGAAAACATGTTAGGCCGGTTAACGTGCCTCATATTTGGTGTAACTACACCGTATTGACAACGTGATGAAACAACCATTCAACATGGACAGATAGAGACCAGTTAATTTAATATGTATGTATAACGACTTGCTAAACGTATAATGGAGCTATGATGATCAATGTTTATTACAATGCGTTGTTTTACACTACACAAATATTTTGACGTAGCCAAACAATAGGGTTTAATATGAACATTGAGTACATTATAATATGTATGTCTAGTATATTTTGTCAATTCCCGTTTCGTGTGAGGTTCTGGTCTACAATAATTTATGATGTGTTTATTTTATCTTTCTGTTTCATCTGCGAGCATTAATCAATGTTGCAGTTAGTGTCCGGCTTTCATATTCCTGCTAAACATCAAACAAGTTGGTTACTTTACTGTCAACGTTATCTTGGTCAGATGGATGGGTTCAGTGGTCTTTGTGTTTTAACAACTGGCTACACGACAGTACATCGAAATTCAGTTGGAGTGTACCACGAATCTAAAATCAATCGAGTAAACATCGCTTGCTTCGGGGAAAGTTCGATTAAGCCGTTTAAGATTGGCGTGCATGGTCCATAAACACATTGCGCCCACGCCATACCGCGTACGCAAAATTATCACGGCTATATTCGCTGATGAACTCAACCGGCCTATTGTCTTATAACAGCCAGCCGTTGCCGGCGATGGAATTGAATCACGATAATATGGCTGTTTGTTACACAAGTACATGCCATGATGGGACCTACTTATATACATGACAATAAATATTTTTGCAATAATCACGTATAATAAATAACATTCCGTAAACTAAACGGAAATTCATTTAATAAAAAAATGACTAAAATTATCTAGTAACAAGAATTAATAAGGCTACAAATTACAGGCATTATTTTACTACGTGTGGTGTGTGGGAGCAAATGTAACAATGACAAAGGCTGCAATGATTCAAATTTAAGCTAAAACGTCAAGTAAAATTAGGCGTAACTAATGTGAGCGACGGCGACGGTTGAGAAGCCTTACAAACGAGCCGGCAAGGACGACTGACTCAACATGGCGTCAGCGCCGAACACTCGATTAGCGATCGCAGACACATTCCTTATACGATACGCTATCACTACGTGGGCTGATTTATTGATAAACTCGAACAACTCCACCACTTTCCAGCATTCCTCCAAAGAATCATAAAAAATGTGTAAATATTCAAGAATAGGCATCTAGGTAAACGATGCATAAGCGTAACAATAGAATTGACTCGCCAAGCACGCGGA